CCTGGTGACCAAACCTCAGCAGAAAACCACTGTGGATGGGACTGGTTTTTCTGCATGTCTGCCACTGTTGCAACTGTTTAGAAAAAGAATGAAAATATGAGGTTGTGTCAGTGACACTTAGAATACACCAACACACAGAAGGTCACAGTGAGGAAATACTTTTTTTTTTTAGCAAGTGTAGCTTTTCTGGAAATAGATACCTGTGAGTAGGTTTCCAAATTAAGTTTATAAAGAGGTACATGATGAGTAGCCTCTTTTTCTTTTAACTTGCTAGTCAAATGTTGGATTTCCTGTGCAGTCACACAGCAGTGAGCCTTTTTACCATATAGGGATGCAGCTAAGAGGGGGGTGTGGGCAGAGGGAAGAGAAAAGAAGAAGTAACAAGACTCACTTCTCAAGCCTGAACTTGTTGCCAGCTGTATCAGCTCAGACTGGTGAAAACAGCGGCTGCCAGAGATAGCAATCAAGCTAAGGCTCTGTTTTATTGGAATGTGAGCAAATACCCCCTCACAAATAAGTGAACCACTCAGCTGGGACTGTCTGTACCTGCTTGACACAGAAAGAGGAGAGAAAATGGAGGGAAAGTGCAAATTGTGAACAGGTGGGATTGTGCTAACTGGGTTTGAGTAGTTTGAACTTGCTTCCCATTGTTTTGGGGGCTTTTGTGAAGAAGTAGCTATAACTCAAAGAATGGTTTAATAGCTATGGAACGTTTAATTTATTGGCAATAAAAACGGTTATGATCATCATATAAAAGCAAATAAAGGTTGAGTTTTCCCTTTTGCCTTAAGTGTTTGATGATGATAAAATGACCACTAAGACATAAATTATGATATTAGTTTGACTAAAACTGGACTTTTAAAATGCATTTAAACATGTTATTCATTCAAACTTAAGCCAAAACTGAGCTAGCACACACACTAAAATACTCACGTTTGTTTATTCCTGGTTTCCGGTTCTAATCTTGGACAGGCGGCTAAGGGTGGACCAGTCTAGTGTCACAGTTGACAAGCTATCAGCATCATAGTGTGAACATTACTCAACCCAAATCCACAGCATAGGCCTCTGCAGGTTAGGCAGATTCATGCTCCAGTCACCCATTTGGACTTGTCCCGTAGCTGTTCCCCTGGATTTGGATCTGGGGCCTGTGGGAGCCCTGAGCAAACATCACCAAATCAGATCAAGATGTATTTTGCTGCAACCTCTGTGACTTTGTGCTGTATCCTATTTAAAGCAGCCATCCGATTCTAATGGCTGCTTCAAGTAGGATCCATTCCAATTTGCTCTCAGTGGAAAACCGTCTGCCTCACTGAGGTGTGTGCACAGATTTCTCACTTTGAAATCGTTCCAAATGTTTCAGAGCTTGTAATTTCCCAGAGCATGAGTTCATGCTGCACTCAGCAGTTTTTTCTCAGATTGAAAAATGACGGGGTAACGGTGGGTTGAGCCTGATCGGGTCATTAGTGAGCAATCAGAGCAAAATTAGCAGACTTTAGGTCACTGTGTTTGAACTGAGGAGGCCAGGACTCCACAGTGTTATACAACACAATGCAGCAGGAACTGGAGCCCTCACCAACTGCTTTTCCACAATCTCATGATGAATGAAGAGGACAGAGAGAAACAGTCTCACTCTCTGGCACTTTTATCATCACAATCCTTGAAAAATAACCCGTATTGTTTTAAGGTACTTTCAGAAAAAATTGACATGTTAATTTAGTTTCTAAATGAAAGTTGACGCAGTATAAGCAATATTTTCTATTTAATTTTCATTCAGATCAATCATCACTCAAGCAGATAGGCTGAGCTGAACACTGCCTGGCAAGTTGTGTCACACATATCAATCATCTTACGGAAAGATACTGTCTACACAGTTGATGATGTTGCATCTTTTCCTCTGTGCAACCAGCAACAAAGTCATTAGTTTTCCTCAGAGGCAGCTCAGGCCAAGCTAAAAGCTGGTTGTTGGGGGTGCACCAACCTCTGCATCACCGCTGGGAGGATCTGTGAACGGCTCCTCTTTGCTGCAGACACTCGCCGACACCCTGAAGGTGCACTGTCAGTTCAAACTGGAGTTTACTGTCCATTAAATCAAAAACAATGCAACACTGTGCGAGTGCTGATCTTTCTGCCATCTCACAAGTTAATGAGCAGCAAATCCCAACGGATGAGCGAAGAACTGGTTTCCTGTAAAGAAGTAAAATCAATACACAATGTTTTTCGGGAGGGGAAAAAGCAGAATGAGACAGTTTTGGTGAAATACCAGCATTGACAGGTTTGAGATAAACAGTAACAGTAATGTGTTACAATTTCGGCTACAAGCAGAATAGAGCAAATGACATGATTACTGCCTTTAAGAAGAACTGTAAGAGGAACAAACATTGAATATGAAGGGTTTCTTGAGGACAATTTTTATGCTTTGGGTTTACACGTGATGACACACCATGTGAGTGTTATCTTTGAGTATTTATCCTGCTTTCATTAATTTTTAAGGAGTTTGTTATGTGTCCAACAAACTCTCATATAAACTATTTCAGTGTGATCATTCTTTAACAGAGAGATGAGTTTATTTGCCATGTTTACGTCCCCGATTAAAAAAAAATCAAATTATGTCCTTTCGGGTTTGTTCTTGCTTTCATATTGTGAGGAGGCCTGTTCAGTTCATTTTGGAGGAAGTATGGCCCGATACTGAAATGTAAATTCAAGTTCAGTGTTTTTAGTTTCATCCTGCGCACAATTAGTTTCTTTACTTCAAAAGCTTCCAGGGCCTGATCTTTTTGCTCTGCAGTCCTTGCGATTCACTATGAATCATTGTTGTATCCTGTTTACTTGATGTGGGCAGATGGCAGCACCTTCACATTCAGCCCACTGTCCTGTTAGACCTCATTACAATGCAACACACCCAGTTCTGCACGCTCACGCGCTAAATCTCATGCCCTTAAAAGGCGTTTTCCAACTGCCTACTGTTGCATCGTTTTGCCCCTTTCTCTGCGCAGTGGCTCTCGTTCGCCCTCTACTGGCAAAAGAGAGGACAGGCCAATCCAGCCATCACTCCACCCATTACGAACCATTACAGGCTAATTGTCAGGCCATTTGTCTTTAAAACTAAGCTGTTTGAATGTTCAATAAATGATGGAATGTGTATGAAAACAGTCCTCCTGTGTCTAGATTTTCTTTTCTTTTTTAAGTAAATAAGAAGGAAAATATATGTAAGAGTAGCACATATCCACGACAATATGATATAAAAAATCATATTATTTTTAATATGAATACATATTCAATCGCGTTGAGTCATATAAACTATTTCAGCTTACTTACTGCTTAAAAGTATACTTATCTCCATTGGAAGTGCTCATATTGAACACAAAACTTGATTTGCAGCTGATTAGATTGGAAGATTTAAATTACCCATATTTTATCAAAAACCACAAATGAACTTTGACTGTTCCAGTCAATATTATTCTAAATCACTGACAAAAAGACTTTGCATGATAAAAATAAAGCGTTTCTATTATACCTTAAAGTCTTGTGTGAAGAAAATGTGAAGGGATTCTTTCTAGACTCTTCCAGTTCTACATTTGACCCATATTTAGCAACGCATGATCGAAACCACAACACAGACCTAGTGTACTTGAATGCATCCTTCTTCACGACATGGTGCTAGCTCCGCCTTTCCAAATCCTCAACCAATTACAATGAAGCGCACGAACACTCAACTCCTCTGATTGGCTGTTGTCATTGTCATTCCAAGAGCTTTTTTCATCGACATTAGACTGCTCACTGTAGTGGTGCTATTTCACAGCTATTAACGGCTGTCAACTTTCTGTAATAAATGCAATATAGAAAGCTTAGCTGTCGTTTTTAAAGAGGCTAGTGGCACGTAAAAACCTTAGCTTATGTTTTGGACCAATACCTTGTGTGGCGTATATTTTCTGGAGCCAGCGCCGTCTGATATATGTGGGATACACAGGGGAAGGAAGCATTGTTTTGCTAGCTTGCATCTGTCTGTCCCACCTTGAGCTCTTGCAGAAATTTAGGTCACGAGTTCACTTGATTTTCTGAGAATTCTTCAACGGGCTTTTTTAAAGCAACGACCGCTGCTCTGAGGACCTCCATAATCATAGGTAAGGAGAATTTTGGACACACATTTAGACCTGGTGCAAACAAAGAGCTGAAGCTTCAATTGGCAAAAAACACATCATATATATATATATACATATATATATAGATATATATAGATATGCATATATTCAAAGCACGTTTTGAAATATGTTTTAAACACAATGCAATAACAAAATTCATGTTAAAAATTCATGAGACATTCATAACTAACTATTTGTTTGTGGTTATTGTGGGTAAACAAAACATGATGGTCTAAAACCTGAAAAAATGTCTCTCTTAATCGAACATTTATTTTTAGGTGTGCAAAACTTGTGTGTAGAGAAGTCAATAACCTGCTGTGAGCTGAATAGTAGAAGTTGCATCATTTTAAAGGATTGCAATCCAGACTGGGCTGGAAACGACCACCCTCTGTCATGACTTCGATCTATATCAGAGATTTAAAGGAACCTCATGAGCCATGAGAAAGGATTTTTTGTCTTTCTTCAAGGAATTTCTCAATGCTTCATTGAAACACCCATTTCTACAGATTACAGATTTAGGCTTTAGGGTTTTTAGATACTGAGCATGTAAAGCCCTTTTTAAAACCTACTTAAAGCTAAACGAATAATAGACTTATTTAAAACATTTTAAGTTGTATGATAAGACATTTGTAGACAATAAACGACTGCTTCAATACAATAGAAATGGGGAAATCAGCAGAATAATGATGTGTAGTAAAGGTCAGGGACACAAGTCATAAACATCCTTAATGTTAATTTGTTGTGTGATTTTAAAGTATTATGTAAGAATTGATGAGGAAGACAAGTGTCAGGTTTGAACTTATATGCATGAAAGCATAGTAATGCTGCGTATTTTTGTTAAATGTTGGACGTCAGCTAAACATGGGCAACACGGACAGCGTGGCGGTGCAGAAGCGGCTGGCTCGCTTCCGTCCTGAGGAGCGATCGGTGATCGAGGGGGCATTCGATAACCTCCTGAAGGGGTCAGAGGGCCTTTCTGGCACCACTGGGAAAACGGCAGCAGGAAAAACCCTCACACTGGACATGATTCAGGTGGGACATTGAAAACACTAACAAAAGTTTTCAATATAGAAATAAAAAGCTTTGGTTTCACTGTATGCTGATTCTTCCCCCCAATAAACGTAGTTTGTCCTTGATAAATATAATTCTTTTAACTATTTGTTATGGTTTTACTGATTCCTACCAATGCCTTGCATCCATGATTTGTCACTCGGTTTTTTCTCTCGCAGTCCTCAATGGGCAGCTTGGCCTCAGACTCTATGGTGAAGAGAGTCTACCAGTGCCTGCATGGCATCAGCCCAGATCCGGCCGGGTCAGAAAAGCCCGGCCAACCTGACACCTTCGGCGTAACTCGGGAACAGCTCATAGTCTTCCTCGCGGACACCCTTCGAGGTACTGCAGAAGAGCGGGCTCCCCTTGTTCTGGCCATGTCCCAGAATGCTTCAGGGCCAGCGACAACTGTCACATGTGATCAAGTGGCCGAGGTAAGCTGAGGTTTGAAATTAAATGGGACATAATTGATCACTTCCTGTGGTTGTGGTCTATTTGTCACCTTTTCCATGTCTCCTTAGTTTCTACAGGATCTGATTTCTGCTGTAGTTCAAATCCTGGTCAGCAGGGGGCGCCTGCAGGGCTGGAAACCAGAGAAAATGGGTGATGGTCCTCTTGGTGTGAAAATCCTGGCAGAGCAGATTTGCTCTGAACTCAAAGCTTCAGGTAATCTACTAATTTTAAGGCTGCTGGACATAGTGGCTGCAGCATTGCTAAGGATGACACAACACCCTGTTCCCCTCCCTAGACGGGGGAAGTTGTGATGTTTCCTGTTTGGAGGACTGGATCTTCAGAAACTCCCAGGTTTCAATGTACCTGGAAATGCTGGTATCTGAAGGCCTGAATGTGTCTTTGATTGGTCTGCCGCCCCCGACACTGCTGCCCCCCTGCAAGGAGACGCCCTGGAAAGAAATGAACACCCTGCTGGATCTTCCCACTGTCATGTTTCTGGCTCCACAGGTCAGGATGTTGGCCAGTATTTTGGTTTCATTATCAGAAAAAACAACTAAATTATTTAATGTTTCAGTACCTACAAACATATAATCCAAACTGTTGTAATCAGTGTCACATGAGACTCACCTTATTTTTTCCGCTTTGGGCCTCTTTACTCATCTGTCAGAAAAATAACAGTGTACAAATAGTAAAGTAAAATGACATGATTTGATGTTTCTTTTTGGTTTCTTTTTAAACTTTAAGCTGTTTGTTTTAATTAGAAAAAAGAGTATAGGGATGAGGGCAGCTGCATTGACACGACCATGGTAACCTTATGCTGCTTTTTGTTAGAATACAGGCTGAAAGTCGGCTCAACCAGTACACTTTAAAGTGGATATTCTGTTTAGCAGCCAGATAAGAGCTAAAATTAAATATCTGTGAGTGAGCACTCATAAACAGAATAAACATTGGTGTTTTCATTGAAGCTTCCAGAATATTTGGATACTCAGCTGCTGTTATTTTGTGGACATAAATCAGCTCATATGTCGCATTTTTCTCCTCTCTACTTTGAGTTGTTAAAGATTGTGTACATACCTACGAATAGATCCACACAGGAAGCTGCTCACATTTTCCTCCTTTTATGTTCATCTGTCTAGTTGCCAGACAGCTACAGCGCCCCCTGGAGGCTGGTGTTTTCCACCGAGCTGCACGGGGAGAGTTTCACCAAGATGATGTCAGGCCTCATGAAACATGGACCCACCCTGCTGCTTATCAAGGACACTAAGGGGCATGTTTTTGGGGGCTATGCGTCCAACGCCTGGGAGATCAAACCTCAGTTTCAGGGTGAGAGAAAGGACCAGCTCCAGCTGCTCTGTCTTCAGTGCTTATTTTACTACCAGACAAAATGTATCAGTTGTCTCAGCGCAGTTATTACATTAGTTGTTTATGTAAGCAAGAAAACCACCAGGAAACACCCATTAGCTTGTTGAAACATCCTTTAGACTAGCTGAATAAAATAAAAAATGTTTTCATAGTCTAAATACAAATTTTGGGAAAAGTGAAGCCCTTTTTAGAAAATGTCGGGCTAATATGAAGTTATCCGTATGTATTTATTTTTTATCATACTTTTTTTAAATCTCAAAACTGCCAGTTTAAATCAGGGATGCTTTACAGGGAATTTTGTTTTCTAGCTCTCAATGATTTATACTTAAAGAAAATAATCAATATCAATCAATTGTACTGACACTTTCCTTTCACTGTTCCAAGTGAAACATAGGAAGGAGTATTTATAGCTAAAGTAGTTAGTTGCTCCACATCCTTAATCATCCTTCTGCGGCAGCCAATAAATTAAATAATTTAATGACCAATGAGAAAAAAGATTTTAAAAAGCACTGCAGTAGTTTCACTTGCACTTAGATAATAAAAATGTATCCTAAATCCAGAGTGCTGCGCTATCAGCAGATGGAGACTCATAAAACACTGATAAAATGACACATTGAGGAAGTAATACCACTTGTTTGAATATTGTGGACTGTCACTTGACTTTTCTCTCAGATGTTCTTGATTTGTATATTTGCGTTTGCGTGCAGGTGACTCCAGATGCTTCCTGTTCACTGTGTTCCCCAGCCTCAGAGTTTATACAGCAACAGGATACAACGAACACTTCATGTACCTCAACCAGCACCAGCAGACCATGCCCAACGGGCTGGTGAGGCATCAGCGACCCAGTAGAGGAGAACGTCCCCCCCGTCTATAATTAGCTCAGATGAAGTCTGAAGTGTTGTTTTTTTAATTACAGTGAGGGCACTGAACCTGAATAGTGTTTTTCGGATAGTTCCATTTTGGGAAAAGCGCTTCATATTTTAGTTTTTGTCACAATAACATTTTTTAAAATGTATTACAAAGACAAGATTGGGTCAGAATGATTGTCGGTTAAAGGCTGAGTTAGAGTTTGTCAGGTTAGATGATACGTCTGATTACATCCAGATTTTTAGTTTGAATGATGTTGCACTGATTGACAAAATAATTGACAGATGATACATAAAGAAAACGTTATGGCGTGTCCTCCAGGGCACTTTAAAGACACAGTCAAATTCAATCCAGATGCAGTCTTGTTCAATCCAGTTATTTGTGTTCAATTCCAGGTAAAATTACTAAACAGAAATTAGTTTTTATACATAATGTCAGATAAAAGACCTCCAACATGAAAAAGGCTCAGGTCTGTGCCCATCAAGCAGAGACATCCTGCTGTGGTGGTTTTCTCACTTTTCGATTCAGACCACTTTGAGCATGTGGAGCTGGACCTGTGTGGTGGAAACCAACCTCCACGAATTGAACCAATCAGAGGACACTTTAGCCTGGCCCTCGCATTCCCTGGAGGAGGCGGCCACCTAGATAACATTTCCTCTCAATTCAATCTAATTTCCAACCCTTGGGAGTTATGAAAGTATGCAGAGTAAATGTGGAGGAGCACATGTTATTGTTGGCTTTCATGAATAAGAGGAGCTTGATTCCAGAGGGAAAATTAAGGTTTTAAAAACAATAGACTTATCCATCCTCACTGAAAGGAAACGATGCGTCTGCTTTGTGGTCCTCACCAGGGAATGGGTGGTCAGCACGACTACTTCGGCTTGTGGCTGGACAGCGATTTTGGCCGTGGTCATAGCCGCGCACGGCCCCGGTGCACCACTTACGGCAGCCCTCAGCTCTCAGGAGACGAGGACTTCACGCTGGACTCCATGGAAGTGTGGGCCGTTGGAAAACCACCAGAACCAGAGGAGGTCAGAGCGAGCTGTTGCCTAAAGTCCTCTCAGTGTAAATGAGTGAGCATTTACACGGAGAGGCAGCAGATCGGCTTCACCAGAAATCATTTCCTTCAAACGTTACACAACAGTCATCAGATGTGATGAAAAAGACAGTTTATTCAATTCAATTAAAAAAAAATTCTAGAGCCCCAAATCACAACAACAGTTATCTCGCAGCACTTTCTAGACAGAGCAGGTCAGACTGGACTCTGAGGCTATTTACAGAAGGCCAACAATTCCCACCTAAAGCAGCACTAGGGACACAGGAAAGGAAAAACTGCCTTTTAAGAGGCAGAAACCTGCAGGGGGAAAGAGAGAGAGAGAGAGAGAGAAAAGGACAGGGATCAGATGGAGGCAGCCTCCACAGTAACACATAGAGGTACAGACAGTGAAGGCAGAGCTGCTGGTAGATATTGATAGTAATGATAATGATAACAGTAAAAATAGCTACAGGACCAGGAACAGTAGCTGTAATTGTAGCAGGGGAAGTCTTGTAGGAACACGCTCTAAGCGCAGAGTTTTCAACGCTTTGGCTTGGTTGTGAAGCCGTGTTTGCATGTCAGCAACGCTGAGCTGGAAACCTGAGACACGATCACACGCCAGTCTTCAGTTAAAGGTTCAAACCCAGAAAAAGGACCTTAGACACAGATAGAAGAACTGATCAGCTTCACTTTGACTTTTGACCGAGACTTAATTTTTAAAAAATCATTTAACTAATTAAAACTTTTCTCTAAGTCCTCAAACTATCTGATTAGTGTCCGATTTATTTGAAACAGATGGTATTTTCACTCCCATAGATGCATTTCTCAGAGAACAGCTATGGAACAGAACAGCCAGGATCCATCAGAGCTGAGATGAGATTTTTTTATATGTTGCATGGAAAAAAAAAAAAAAAGCCGCTTCCAGTTGCTTAATATAAACCCTTCATGTTGTAACATCTTTGCACATCAGGCATGTAATTAGTTCACCTCAAATAGAAAACTCATTTACATTCCAGCTGTTTTACATTTTGCATCTGTTTCCTTTCAAGCCCACGGTTCCTCTGTGTGTCTCTTTGTGGTGCCTCAGGGAGAAGAGGGGGAGGGTAAGAAGAGCATCCTGGATGTGGATCCAGAGGTTCAGGCCATGATGGAGCTCACAGGGAAGACTCTTCACAGCGAGGGGCTCCGGGAGCCGGAGGACGACTAGGATCAGGGACCACTAACGGTCCTATTGAGGCCCTCTGGGTTCTCCCCCATCTACTCATCCACAGATATCAGATTCTTTCACTCTGCTCTGAACCTTTGGTAACAGACTGCAGCTTCTTCCTCTTCTGAACGGTATTAAAGTGGCCCACATTTTTCCACCTGGTTCATGGTTCACATCACTAGTCTTGTACGGCCATAAACGGAGCTCACAGGTGGTCTGTAAAGTCTGCCACGTCACCAGTCCGCAGCTTTCAGGGCAGCTTTTGTCACCAGTGGGAGTCATCTGGGTGGGGCTTCACGCTTAAACTCCACTGGTAAAACTGCTCTTTATCACTTATCTTCACCTTGAGAATGATTCATTTTAGATTTAAGAAAGAGGTGAAAAGGGACTCTTAATCCAGTAATAATTCATTGCAGCAGTATTTTAAAGATTGTCTTGATTCAAATGAGATTAATATGCGTTATGATATTTGAACAAACTTATTAATGGATGGGAATTTATTTGTGAGCCTATGAAACTAACCCTTTTTTTTTGCTTCAAGTGTGAGAGAAGGTCAGATAAGTTATTCAGGGATTTTTTTTATTTTTACATCAGGGAGAGTAAATACGTCATCCCTCCTGAAATAGTCAGCTGCTGATAAACCGCACAAGTGATGAAGGTGTAACGCCTGTTTGAACAGACAGGATTCCCATCTGTTTTTGTTTTACTTCATTGTTATTGTGACGCTTAGGCTGAAAGCAAAAGAACGTCAGCACTAAATCAATGCAGACAGCGCTCGGGCCCATACGGGCTTGAATTTGAATATTTTTTGTTTCTTCTTTTAGGTTTGTATTGACTATGGCAGGTGAAATGCATCAGTAATGGACATAAATCTGCTGATCTGTAGACTCACAGTAATGGGTACCACTCAGTTAAACATTAGGTTAGCTGGGTTAAGCCCTCTCACCTAACTGTGGTCAGGGACTCTTCTTTGGGCCTTTTTTTCTATGTGTGTTTTGCCTGATGTGAACGAGCAGCTGATGAACACTAACGCTGCATTGTGACTGTAAAATGAAGACCAGCTGCAGCTTCCAGCTGTGAAGCCGCTACTCTTCATTAACTGGTGTGCCTGACCCAGTTGGACCAGCTTTTGATTTAGTTAATAAGCTCTTTATAGTGGAAATCTGTGCAGTAAAGCTGAATCTCTACCTCTTCCTCAATTGGCTGGCTTCAACAGTTATTATTGTGTTAGCCTGACCAAAACGGGACTTTTGAAATGTTTCTATACATGTTAGTGCAGATATATTGTGCAAAATCAATCCTCTGAAAACCAGATGACGCAGATGAGGCCAGGACCGCATTATTCCTGTATGTTTACGCTTGACTTGACTGAAATCGGGCTGGTAGCTTCACACTAATTCATCCAGAGTTGCATATTTTTGTGTATGCAAAAGTATCTGAGTGCAGCTGGATTCCAGCAAACCTGCACGCTCTCACATTTTTTCTGTTTCTTATGTCGGACCGAATTAATTCCTTATTTTTATTATCCGCAGTGGCCACAAATTAAACAGTAGCACCACCTGGTTCTGGATTTGGCCATTCAGGTTAGCAAGAGAGGCCATTTTTTTCCATGAGCAGCCACACAATCGCCTTCTGGGCTCCATCACCAAAATATTCTCCACTGCAACTCTTAAAGGGCTTAAACTCTATAGTCTGTGTATGGAGCTCCCCTTCTAATGATTTAATGTTTGTTTATTGTTATTCTTATTACCTCCACATTTTCAGCATTTTCTGTAAATTTAGCTCCCAAACATTGAATCGGGGAAAAAAAAGCTTCCAGGTTTACGTACGTCATACGTAAAACTAATTTTTAAATAATGAATTCCAATCAATATGGATTAAAGTGTTTTAATACTTAAACTAGAAAAGAGAATTTTGCATGAAGACAGGAAAGTAGTTTAATTTCAACACTGCTAATCTCTTATAAAGTGATGTGTTTGTTTTAGTAATGTGTCATTTGTTTTAGTAATTTGCGCATTGACAATATTTTACTGTGAAAAGGAGTGAGTAGTTTATGTGGAGTTTTTTCTTCAGATCTGAATGTCTGAGGCTAAATTAGCTTTTTTTTTTTTTCTACTACCCCGATCTCACATTCCGTTCGTATAAGCTTTGCTTGTTTTTACTTTACACTAAAGATTTGAGTGAATAGAATCACATTGTATGCAGTAGAGAAGTGCTTTGCGTGTTTTCTGTATGTGTGTGAATTGTTCATCTGTCATTTTAAAAGAATTAAAGTTACAGGAAAGCTGGACGACTCTGCATTCTGACGTCTCTGTCCCCTCCAGATGTCTCCTTTCCTCTGAATTTTGGAGAAATGGTGGAAATTACCACCAGAAACATGGAATAAAATGAATACAAACACCTATGCAGACGGCTGAAAGGCAGCCTTGTTTCCACCAATGCCCCCCCGCCTCAACTCTGCTCTATCATGCAAATAAATGAGCAAATTTACTCATGCAAATCTGTTATATTTAACAGAGCAAACCGGACAGTGTAGCGCCTTTAGCTGCGTAAAGAATGTTTTTTATTTCCATGTTGTTTTGATTGTGATCCTTTTTGTTTTATTATTATAGCGTTATTTTATGTGGATAAATATGGGGATACTGGGATGCCCCAGTATTTATTTAGCATTAGTATTTGTTTACAGTCAAATGGAAACAAAAGGGATTAATTTTATCTTCTAAACAATGTTCGGACAGTCAAAGTTTGATTAGTTTCCTTATTGCATTTCTCTTTTCCCATTACCCATTGTAGTTTAGTTTTATTTGTGTTTGAACACAAATTCAGTGAGAAAGACGGAAATGCTTTACAGTAAACAGATGTCAGGAGGTTGGTGTGGAAGCCATTAAAGGGAAAGTGCTACCCCGAATTCCTGGTTTGCTATTTTCTCATAAGAATACAAATTGCTAAACTTTAAACTCCATTTCAAGTTTCATTCAACTCGAGAGGGCCGTTCATCTTCCTCTGGACCTCTGGACCAGATGAACCAGCTCAGACCTCAAATCACCGGTCCTGAAAGCGATGACACGGGGACCAGATGTTGCCAGAGGTTTCCAGAAAGTGCTTTGTTTTCAGCTTGGTTCTGAATCTAAACGTTACAGACAAACTGCACGGGAAAATACAGACGGATGTCTTCTGGCTGCTGCCGTGGGGATGTTGGGAGATGCTTAGTGAGAGGACCAAACAGGAGGAGCAGGATTTAGGGCCAAATCCCAAAGTCCCGCCCTCACAAAGCAAATGTGGGAGCTTCCTAATGTTTGTTTGTGTGTGTGTCTGTGTGCAGGGGGGCCCAAATGCACCATCACGGTTTGGTCTACCTTGGATTTAAAAGTTTACCCTCTAATTTCACAATTCAGAGAAAAAAAACAAACCATGCTTTCAGTGTGATTAGAAATAGTAGAATAAATACTTCAGGCTTTATTTCCCTTCCGATGTCCAACCTGGACCACACTGACCTGGTGTATCCTCTAATAGAAACTCCCTCAGCATCAGAATCCACTTTGTTAGAAAAAAAAAGCCCGTTTTAAAGGCGGTTATGAGGAGTCTGGTTTGGAGCTGCGGGTCAAAGCGGCGGCTCTGCGCCTCCGTTATTTTGCATAGATACTGCTCATGCTTCCGGACTTTTTTTTTCATAACCAGCATGCTGTGCCTATAATGCAAGTTAACTTTTACTTCCTTCTGCACACAGGCGGATAGAGGAACTGACCGCCCTGCGGCTGGCCTTTTGTCAACACTCTACATCCTCTCCGGCTTCATTTCATAACCTCCCAAATGATGATTAGATAGAAAAAAGCGGCCGCGTCTTTTCGGAGCAGAGAAGAAACCCACTTCAGGCAGAAGGTAAGCGGCCCGTTTTACGCCTGATGGCTCGGTTTGGATGCGCGTCGCTGGCGCGCGGACTAAAAGTTGTTAGGAGGAAGAGGCTTCCGCCCGGCGCGCGGACGCAGAAACGCAGAGAGAGGCTGCACGCGGCGAGGGGGAGGAAGTCTGACCACCCGCAGGCTCCCAGACACCCACCGGTCACAACAACGCCAGAAACGAGACCAACCAGACCGTTTTGGGCAGAACTCTTGTGGAGAGCTCACCGTTAGAGAAAGGGGTTCTCCACTCTGCTCTGTACGGTCGCCCTCTGGGACCTCGGTCACATTTTTGCTGACGAGAGATTATAGTTTTTCTAAAAATGGAATGATATTTCCATTTGTTCAGTTGCTCAAAACATTAATAAACAGATTAATCTAGAATTGAATCCCAGTAACACACAGACATACAAAACAGTGTTTTTTTATGTGTTACCACATGCTCATTTTTAGAATTAAGGACACTAAGAGGAATTTGTACATTTTTGCTGAATATCTGTCTTTGTGTTTTGGGGAGCCTCTATTCTGGATGTCCTCTAGACTGAGCTCATGTCCCACTAAAATAGCTGCAGACCAGCTAGAGAAGATACTGATAATCCACCCATGGCTGCATCCTCAGAACCTCCGTTCTCGTGGACGTCTGCCATGTTCTCACAGACACATAAACACAGATGCCGTTTTTTTTCTCCCAAAGCAGCTGAGATGTGGAGCGAGCCCACTGCAGAAAACCTGCTAATGCAGCTCCAGGAAGCTCCAGGTAGCTCCAGGGAGCACCAGGAAGCTCCAGGTAGCTCAAGGAAGCACCAGGAAGCTCCAGGTTGCTCCAGGAAGCTCCAGGTAGCCCAAGTTAGCTCCAGGAAGCTCCAGGTAGCTCCATCATGTCTTTTCAGAGTTGATATGCTGCTTCCTGCTTGTGTAACTCACTTTATGGTTACAACCTTCTTTATTGATGACGGTAGTGTGATCGATTCTCATGCCGGGCTGATTGGTGGACTCGAGGATTACATGTGTCCAACAATGGTTTCCATCATTTGGCTTCATCTCAAGCCCCAGATTTTCCATTATTAGCTTGAGATGCTTTGTTACAGGAGCAAAGGGTCAGATTCAGTCCTACTGTGCATCTTCATGTTAAAGTTTTGTTTTTGCCTTTTTTGGTGTTCACTTTGTGGTCATTTAGATTATTTCACATCTCTTGCCTGTTTTTGGTCCTTTTTCTAATTTTTAAAAAACTTTGCTTAGGGATCTTTTCATGCGTATTGATATTTTTGCCTCTTTTGTTATGGTTTGCATCTCTGTATGAACCAGTTTGGCTTTCTGATAACATTACAAGCTCTTCTTTGCAAATTCTGGCCCCAACTATAACTTTATCACTTACTAATCCTCATGAAATATTCTTAACACGACCTCAACAGTAACCAATTAACTCTATTTCATCTAGTGTAAACTAACCTGAAATAGAGTGGAAAACAACTCTTAAAGAGTGAACAGGTTTCACTGTACACAACAAATAACAAGCACCTCTTTCTCATGGAGAGAGTCTTAGTTTTAAGGGACACTTCGTATGTGGAAATCAGTCTGCTGACCTGCTTGTTAAAGCTAAAAAACGACAGAAATCACTCCAATAATGAAAGCCGTAGACAAAATAAATATCATATCATTTTTGAAGCAATAAGGGGAGAATAAAAGAGCAACATGAGCAGAAGGGACTCAACAAAACAGAAAATAGAGGCACAAGTGGTGTGAGAAAGAACAGCTGCAAAGGAGATCAAATCACCATAAAAGATCAGATGAGATAAAACATTAAAAATGGGAGGCAGGCAGAGAACAACAGGAAGGATAAGCTGGAGGACCTTTGGTTCCCTGGAACGGCTGTATGCACCAACCTTTACACACTGTGTGGATGGGTGAACGCAACCTGTGCTGGTAAATGAAAGTAAATGCAGGAAAAATTCAAAATAAGGACGAACCAATGAGGCTGAAAAGCTCAACTGGTGTGGTTTCCATGCACTTCGTTTGACCCACATTCACTTCAACACTGTAGAATCTCATTTTCAGCCTATGGTCAAATAAAATTGATGGGATAAATCATTTCTGAAAGGCATTTTTCAGCAAAAAGGACAATTTTCTGCTCAAGCTACTGAAATAGGAGGATTCACAGCTTTTATTTACCATGATGTCATTTATATGTGATCAGTTTTCAAGATTTCATTAAGTTTTTAGACTGATTATTGAGCAAACGTATACACTGAATGGCAGCACTGTGGACTGCGGCACATTTTACACGTACTTAGTAGTAACACCTTAAATGAAGTAATTTTAGAACTACTCCAGATTAGTTAAGTCCCAAGACAGAGACTAGAACTGACTCCAAAACTCAGGCTTTATCCCAAAAGCTTTTTCAGCTCACTGTATGGGCCCGGTTTCGCTGGCCCTGTATCGGATCTGTATCCGTATGAGGAAATTTCCATAAATAAAGCTGCAGTTATCCTTCATGCTGCTGGGGCCGTCCCACACCCAGGGTAAATGTTTCTGTAAAGGGAGAGGAAGAGTTGTTGGAAACCAGCAGCTAATTATTAACTTTGCTTTATTTGAATAGGAAGTTATGTGAATGTGAGAGTTGAATGATCATTTTTATTTCACATTTTAAGCATCTCGCCTTATTTTAGCTTCTTGGCCCTCTTTGCCCACTATGACACTGCCTGTCACGGCCTTCCAGCTTCATTTTAGGTTCATTTTCCACAACACAGGACTCCCCAGGACTCTCCAGTGATGCTGGTTTTGTTTATGATGTGCGGCGGATTATTTGCAAGTGAAATATGAGGTCTGTGGCAGCAATTCAGCATTCACACAGTGTCCCTGATGACATACTGCTTATCTGTCACATGTTTTCATATTTGTCCGGCACAAAGGCTGCAGAACGTCCCCATTAAAGGGACATTGTGTAGAAATTCCTACACCGTGTGTAAGGTCAGCTTTAGTCCCTTAGAACCTTTCTAAGGGACTCATCGGCAATCAGTTCAGCCTAGGATATAAAGTTTTGTGGATCCCCCCCACCCCCCGTCGCCCAGTGACAGCTGGGATCGCCTCAATGCTCCATTTTTAATTCAGTATATTCGCTTGGGGCAGAAAGTCATCCAACAGCTCCAACAGTGGCTTTGAATTTCCATCCATCCAAAATTGTAACTGCTTATTCTCTAATGGGGTCACGGGGGGACTGGAGCCTATCCCAGTAGTCAATGGGGAGAGGTGGTGTCACCCTGGACGGTCCCTAGTCCATCACAGGGCCACACAGAGACACACAAGGACCAACAACCACTCACACTCACTCCGAAGGACAGTTTGGAGTGTCCAACGAACCTAACATGCAGGTTTTTTGACGGTGGGAGGAAGCCGGAGAACCCGGAGAGAACCCACCAGACACAGGGAGAACCTGCAGACTCCACACAGAAAGGTCCTGGTTCACCCGGGGACTCGAACCATGAACCATCTGGCTGTGAGGCCATGGTGCTGACCTATACTACTCCCAACTGGATCCTTTACATCCTTTGAGGGGAGAAGCACAAAGGCTGTTTCTCTAAAATGACCTATAGAGAGATTGTTTTTCTCTAATTCAGTTAAGGGGATTTTACCACAGATGGTGGAAATCCTGCTTCAAAGTAGGGAATCGTGCGTTGTAACCACGTATGGCACCACAAGAATGGTGGCGTGCTGAGACATACCAAGAACTGGAAGGTCCAAAGCCATTGTGGTGGAAGCACTGAGTATCAGAGGCTGTCTGAACACAAAGCACGTATTATGGGAATTCATTATTAAATTAGATATATCCATATCAGGCAGCCTTTCTAAAAAGTTGCTTTGTTAAGGAAACCAACAAATTGATTAGAATCTTGTTTCTGATCCAGCCCCCCCATCCTGAGCAGGCATGAGGAGCCAGTGAAGAGGAAAACTCCTTTTAAATAAGAGGAAATCGGGCCAGGGAAGGCTTCTGATAGAAACTCAGTCAGAATGACTGAATGTTTAGTCTTCCTTTAAAAAGCTGAATGCCATAAATGAGGCCGAGCTATTAAAGGAAAGAAGAAATAGACATGCTAATATGGTGGTGAGAGGTCCACCCTGTCGATTATGTGCAAAGTCGACTGTCTGCCTGTTTTCTAGAGCAGAGCTGAGAGGCAGCTGGGATCCTAAATGAGCGTGTGGCACCTGTTTCCTCAGATAGAAGTTATCATTAAAAGATTTCTACCTTTTTAAACTGTTTTTTTCGTGGAAGCTGTGCCAGTGAAGCAGCATTATTCAGGGAACCAGCAAACAAAACTTTTAACCTTGAAACTTGTCATATTCATGTGTCATTTGAAAACTGCCATGTTGGTATTTTTTGTATTACCAATACATTGAATGATTAAATAAAGGAAATGAGTTAAAAGATGAAAGCTAAAAAATAGCAAAAATTGCTGAATTCTGGATTTTCTTAAAGAATTAGTTGTCCAATCGTCCATCACGGTTTGGAGAAACCAGGTGGGGTCATCTTGACTCCATTAAGGGAAGCAGGTTAATAAATGACTGGTTACTTTACATAATGTTCATGTCATAGTGAGCGTGTCTCAGTTTGGGACAGTTTTCGGTGACCTGCTGGTGGGCAGCTGAGCACAGATTAAATGGATACTGACCTGTTACATGGCTCTACGTGTTCTTCCTCAATTTGTGTAAATTTTACACAACTCTGATGATCTTTTTGTTGTTGTTGTTGATTAGAAAGGGGAACTATATGTCCAAACCCTGTTTCCGAGGGTCGCTGCCCAGTTACTGGAGGGGAAACTGATGTTTGATATTTCTGTAAAAGTGAAAGTAATCAACACAGTTTAAATATCACCATGAGACATCTTCCTTCTGTAAAGAACTAAGTCTGAGGACTTGTAAATGATCGGATCAGTTATTAGAATCCGATGATAAAACATAACTCCTCCTCAGACCTGAAGATAAGTCTGATTCACTCATACATGGAGCTGCAGAAAGAGGCTTCTTGGCAGATAGTTTTGACTTTTTTTAACGGCACAGAAATATCTATAAAGCAGCGACAGCTGGATGTTTTTTTTTACCGTCAGTAAGTGGTGGATTTGTCATGGTTTACAGCAGTTCCTCATGGGCTGGAGCTACAGTCTGTAACATGTGGGCTCAGATTTTATGTGGTTACACTTTATCTTTCTGAAGATCACAAAGCTTCCTTCGAGTAGATTTTTAAGCCTTAAGAGAAGTGAGTATGCCTCCATCTGCATTTTTTTAATGAATCAAAAAAACATTTGTGGTGGCTAAAAGAAAGTTTTAATGAAAAAAAAAAGGTAAAATAAAATAAAAAAGCTAAACGTGACAAAGAACAAAGGAAGCTGTTTTCTGATGACACATCTACTGCAGAAAAGGTTTCCACCAGCTTGCTTTGTTCTTTTTCACCTTTTTTAACGTTGTTGCATTGACATCAGCACCTCAGTGTGTGTTCATCTACACACACACATCTATCCTAATACAACACACTCCTGTGAGCATTGAACAAACCGACTTCCTCCCTAAAAACTCAGATACATTCTGAATTTTCAGTCCTAACCTTCACATCTTTGATTTCATTGTTTATTGTTAAAAAGATTCGCTGTCACCAAAAGTGGTACGAGCTCATCTTCCTGGGGTCCACAAGACAAAACAAAAATCACTTAACAATTAAACATTGCAGACATTATCATAGATTTCATCACAGATCATTCCGAATAAGTTATTTAATTCATATCTATTGCATTAATTCTCACTTTCATACAGTAAATATGTTAATTCTCTAGTCACAAAGTAATAATTAAAAGATCCTTTCCTCAGAGCCTCAGCCTCCTCTGATCAGAGGCTATGCTCTTTTTTTCCCCGCTCCAGAGATGGCTCGCTCAGGGCAGCAGGGCGAGATGACGGAGTACAAGAAGATCCTGATCAAGCGGGACATGGAGATGGGCGTGGTCATGACGGTGTTCCGGCAAAAAGCCGAGCGGCTGACCGTGCAGGTCATCATGGAGACCAGGCAGGTGGCCTGGACACGCACCGCGGACAAGACCGACGGCGTCTGTGAGTATCCCGACGTTTGACAATGCATCACCAGTCTTAGTCTTTTCTTTTTTTCCCCCTTGTCCTGTTCAGCCTCATGGCAAGTAGACCGAATTTCTGACTGCCATAGTTGTGCCGGACAGATTGACTATTTCAGCCAGGGCCTGGCAGGGCCGGTAGGCCGCCGCCCCTGGTAACGAGGGAGGCCCTATACAGTAAAACCTATACATACGAATTTAATTCGATCCAGGACCTACTTCGTATGTTAAAATATTTGTATGTTGGTTCAAATATTTACATAAGAATACACTGTAATTCCTATAATTCGTTCCACAGCCCAAAAACCTACGATAACTCCTTAATAAATACCGCAGATAATAACACATAGCTATAAAACAAATGCATTATATTAGAGAGATGTAAAAATAAATAGATTATAAAGAAATAATCAATAAAAAGGGGTTTTTATTGGCACTTTACCTTAGAGACTGACAAACGGAGGTAGAGGTGGAGACTGGGATACTGGACGTACCCTAACTTACTCTAACTTTAACTACCTGAAGTTTAAACTAACTGAGCTTATTTATTTTTATTACATTTTTATATTCTATATATTTTTTTCTATGACTTCGACGGACGCTGGAAATGTACTTTGGGCGTCGAGTCAAATATTTGATCAAATTTCACTTTGGATTCTTTTGTTTAGGCAACCTTAAGTAGAGGTTCTACAGTATTTGTAAAGCCTCCTTTGCTACCCAACCCTTGAGGGCTTATTTATTATTAGTGTGTTATATACATTCTGATACCAAACATGACTGAGGAGAGAGAAAGGAAGACAGTGGGAGAGAGAGACAGAGAGAGAGCGAGAGAGAATGGGGGAATCCATGGGAGAAAGACTGGGGGAAAGCTGAGGAAGACCATCACGAATACCTGTGGAGAGACAAATCTAGCGGACAATAGAACACAGACAGCAAAAACACCTGCAGCTGAACATCGAGCAGACTTGACGGCATTAATGCACAAGTCTTTTCTATCAGCTTGTAGAACTTCAGGTTGGGACCAAAAAGGGTTTAAATGCAATTAGCCGCTATGCTCTCCTACTGGATCCAGTGTGGTGGTGTGAGGGAGCCGACGAATGAAGGACAAAGGTGTTCCAAAAATGAGAAAAAGTTCAATTCGGCCTACACGGTGCAGCTGAAACGCTCTCCTTCCTTTCACTTTCATGAGTCTGTTGTGTGGTCAGCAACCTGACACGACCGCTAGGTTTTTGTCACACGTCCCCCAGCTTCATTTGCTTGAACTAACCCACGGCTGCCCTGATTTCAGATATTTAGATATTTATAGCTATTTAATTCTGGGATCTTCTGCTTGTAGCTGTTGTGTTGTTAATAATATGGGGTCATATCCTCTTAACTTAGTTCTTATGCTTCAGACTAATGCAACAAATGTTATCTCTTAGCCATTTAAAAGAGCAAAAGCATCTAAAAGAAAGTACCCAAATATCAACCTCTGTTGTTTCTTTGTTTTTTGTTTTGTAAAATCTTTTTAAAACTACATATTCATCCAAATAGACTCACTTTGTGTAAATAAGAAAGTTGGATGAAAATTTTTACCGGTGTTTGTGGAACTTCTGTATGTTTTTTGGCTTTCAGCTTTTGTATTAATTGCATTTTGGCTGGAGGGGACCTGTGGCGATGTAAATTCAGAGGAAACTATTTTGAATTTCTCTAACTGTTTCCCTAAAGAGCACCAGTGGATGTGGAAGGATTCGTATAAGGTTTCACTAGCACCAGGTTCATGGGTCAGAGCGAGGGCTCATGAAATTAGCACAGTTTTAAGATGCACAGATAAAAAATTGTACCTTTAAAAACAAAGTTTTAATGAAGCTAAATTAAGAGTTGAAACAACTACATATGCCAAAGCAAAGACACAAACTCTCTGCAAGGTACAGAAAAGAGATTCGCAAGTTTTTCATAAATAAATGGGCCCTTTGTTTTTTATCTCTAAATGAGACAAGAAAAATATGTGAATCTAAAATGATGATGCACAGAAGGCTAAACAACTCCGTCTGAAGTAATAATCCACAAAAACGCGTGTGCTTTGTCTCAGTGGACCTGGCTGAGATCAGGGAGGTTCGCGCAGGGAGAAACTCCAAAGACTTCGAGCGCTTTAAGGACGGGAAGGACAAACACGACGAGAACACCTGCTTCACCATCTTCTACGGCTCACAGTTTGTCCTCAGCACGCTCAGCCTGGGAGGTAAAGTCAGGATTCTCTCATGGTTGGAGATACAGTAGAACCTCTACATACAATTCGTTCCAAGACTTACTTCATATGTTAAATATATGTATAATGGTTCAAATATTCCCATAAAAATACACTGTAATTCCTATAATTCGTTCCACAGCCCAAAAACCTACAATACACCTATTTAATTTTTATATTTTAGATTCATTTTTTTCTACGACTTCGTCGTAATAGAATCGTAAGTAGAGGATCTGCTGTATGTGTGTAAACTTTCTGGCCTGCGTCACGTGCATCACATTTGAGTAAATTTGCCTGAACTCTTTGCATATTCCTGTGAAGTTCCTGTAAATTGTTTTGATACCATATAGATTATCTAAGTGCTGCTCCAGGAAGTGCACAGTGGCCTACGTGACCGGCCACCGAAGTCCTCATGCAGTGCTAAACACCAGATTATATTCATAAAAAGTTTATTGCCACTTTTCCAGCCGATTCTGTGGAGGAGGCGCAGAAGTGGCTGATAGGTCTCGACCTGATGAGGGAGGAGACGTTGGCAGCTCCCACGCCGGTTCTCATAGAGAGGTAGACATTTCCATCCCTTCAGATGACACCACGCTCACACGTAGCATGACCAGTGGAGCTAACCGGGAAGAAATGCTCAAATCTGATGTTTACCGCCAAAACACTGACATTTTAAACCCAGAGGACACAAATGAAAGGTTTAATTAACTTAAGAAAGAGCTGACAAAGTTACTTTTAATGAAGTCTCAGTGGTTTTCCGTAGGCGTGTTGTTCTAAATGACCGATCCAGTTTCTGAGCTCTGTGTTGTCGTCCCAACAGCTGGCTGAGGAAACAGATGTATTCTGTCAATCAGACCAAAACAAACAGGTGCGTGCTCAGAAATATGACCTGCTCACTGTCTACGGTTGGTATTTAGCCACTTGGCAATGTCATTTGTTTAAAATTGACCTAATTAATAGTGCAAATGATTTAATGTACCAGCAAATTCAGGTAGGAAATACCAAAAATAAATAATTGTATCCATAACTTTGATCATTTTTGCCTTAAAAAAATAAGACTAGCTGTGCTCTTTTTGCCACTTTATTTATTTTGATATTAATTTAAAATGCTATAACACTTAAAGCTTAACGCTGCTTCAAATGGCACCCATTGCCTGCCACCTGCGTGACCCTTAAATTAAAAAATGGCTGGGGCTTTACATAAGCGCTCCAGCTTGGTCCTGCTTCATTCCTCTAAAATATGACATGTTGTAAATACCACACGTGATGCAATTATCTGGCACTGAGTCTTATTCACACATAAAATATTAAAATCCCATAAAACATCCAGTCTCATGAGGCATAACACTTTTATTTTACTTGTCCTGACAAAACAAACAGTGAAAAATGAAAGCAGCAATACCAGCAGGGGGATTTTTCACGTTTTTTTTAGATCAATTATTTTTCAACCTTTGGCCAGAGAGTGCGCTTTCTACCTGGTGGCTAAACCTTTAGCCAAAAAGCTTCCATATGGTTAGACAAAATTGTAATATTTAGCTTAATCTTTAGATATTTAAATATCCTTCTAAAGCTTTTGGTTGAGAGTCACTGAGCGAATGAGAAGCAGCACTATGTCGATGATCCTCATAAACTGGGATGCTGAACATAGTTTCATCTCAGAGTATTTCACATGATATAATAAAGGCAGTTTTACAGTATATGACTGTATGTAACAGTGCATGGTTTCCAGCCACGTGACGCCTGCTCTGTGTTTGATCCTTCACAGCATCTCTCTGAAGGAGCTGAAGGCTCTGCTTCCGATGCTCAACTACAAGGCCCCCAGCTCCCGAACCCTCAAAGACAAAATACAGGTACTCCTCTTCTTCTCAAGTCACAAATGACCTTTCAGAAGCATCATTTTGCCGTCAAAGCTGCTTAAACGTTGACAAAAGTCTCTTCCTCCTCCTAAAAACAAACTCTCTTTTGGTATTTTGCTGTTTTTGTCACGTTTTTAATGCGGTGCATTCACAGGAAGTGGGTGCAAAGAAAGACAGACTGGACTTTGAGCAATTCCACAGGTTTTATAACCTGATAATGTTTGAGCAGAATGAGGTGAGTCTAAGTGAATAGGATGGATGCATATAAATTATTATCAGTATGTTGAAGCTGCATTTCTTACGTTTTTTTCCTTTTTTACTCACAGATTCTCGATGAGTTCAAAAGGGAAGCATGTTCTTTTATTCTTGGGTGAGGTCCTTTTTACTCGTCATCACTTGAACAAACCTCCTTATGACAGGAGATCTTTCTAAAGACGTGTTGTTTTTCTCTGTCCTGTTACGCAGAAACACAGACAAACCGGATGCCTCAGCTGTGCTGCTGCATGATTTCCAGCGATTTCTCACTTTGGACCAAAAGGTAAAATGCTTTCAACTCTAAGGATTTATTCCTATAACAAATACGTGTGGCAGCATTTCCATTTTTTTTCCACAGAGGACCAAAAAATTATTCTATCAATTCTAGCTATTTATTCATAACCAATCATACATTTTGGAAATTGATTCATATTGAAATATATTTTAAAAAATAACAAAAGAATTGAGCATTTTATAAAGAAATTACCCAGATGCGCGCTGCTTACTAAAATAATGTCCTGACCAAATATTTACATTGATCCAAAAAGCAAAGAAAAACTTATTTGAAATGCTAAATGTACACCATTCTCAATGGGAAAGGTTGCTCATGATCCAATATGGAGGCTTTCAAGATGGCTGCCATGTTTTGAACATAACTAGATAGCTTAGCTGAAGCGGCTTTATCAACATTTAGCCAGATAATCTCTATCTCTGAGTCCACCAAAGTATTTATGGAGTCATTTTAAAACGTGGTTCCATATGAATGGTGTTTTTCTCAAAGCAGAGTAGCCAAATTGACAGCCTTGTCAACAGGCTCATTATAATTATATTTTTATTAGAAATAGTTAGCAATTATTTATTGATTGACATCTTTTTCAGGAAACCTGGGCGAGCGACCTGAGCAAGGTCAGAGAGCTGATGACCACTTTTATTGACGACACCATGAGAAAAACCAACGACCCAGAGTTCACCGTCAGCGAGGTGGGAACCACATTTTTATCTGATTGATTATTCAGGACGTCTGCTGCGTCTCCCGCCTTTAACACAGCATTTACTTAATTATGCCAGGAAATAATCACAGCCAACTGAGGCCTTCTGCATCTGCTTTGGCCATAAAAGTTTTATGAAGTTTTAATGGGCACCTAAAGCTTACTTGAGAGCAGGGGGTTCAACTTTGAGATGATTCTAAAACCTCTCTTCTTCTTCTTCTACTAGTTCCTCGGTTTCCTGTTTTCGAAGGAGAATTCAGTTTGGGATGAGAAGTACTCAGAGATCAGCAACTTGGACATGAATAACCCTTTGTCCCATTACTGGATCAACTCCTCACACAACACGTGGGTTTGGCTGTGAACACAAAACTGAGTTGGTGTCAGTGAGTGTTGTGCTGGTTAAAGTGGGTCATGGTTGGCTTTTGACCCTGTAAAGTTTCATTATGAGTCTTTGGGGTCAGCTGAGACCTGACTTTGGTTTATTTTCTGTGTCGGTATTGTTATTTGCTGCCTTTGTGTTGCTGTTTTGTTTCATGCTTTTCGCTTTGTTTCTATGTTGATTTTCTTTATTGTTACATTCTTTTCAATTACTAACACTTCGTATGGCTTTTTTTAGTTCATTTTAGAAGAGTAGACTGTAAAAGACAAACATTAAAAACACAAAATGAGGTCAGTACGCATCGTGTACAGATGAAAAAAAAGTAAACTACGAATGAGAGGCTGTTTTTTATTTATTTCTCAAGTTAGCCACTCTGGAGCCCCAAAGCTTTATGGAAACATGATACAAATATTTAGAGGTCCAAACATGTTTTAGTGTCAATATCTTGAAATGAGAAACTCATGGTAAACTCATTATCAGGGGAATTACTGGCCTTCCACAAACAAGTAAGCATAATTAAAGCCAAATAATCTGCAGTGAAGACAAACCAGATTTTTCTGACCCAGCTCTTCTTTGTTTGACAGCTACCTGACGGGGGATCAGCTCCGCAGTGAGTCCTCCACAGAGGCCTACGTCCGCTGTCTCCGGCTGGGATGTCGCTGTGTTGAACGTTAGCCTGAAGCTTTGGCACTCTTTAACATTTTTCTCTAATTGTTCAGTTCAGTGCCCTAATTTCTGCCTTTGTCTGGCGTTAAATGCATGAAGTGGACTGCTGGGAAGGCCCCGGGGAGCCCATCATCTACCACGGCTGGACCAGAACAACCAAGATCAAGTTTGAGGATGTCGTCAAAGCCATAAACGAGCACGCTTTCGTCACCTCAGAGTAAGAAATGGCATTTTGTTCCAGGAGTTTTAGCCGTGTAAGCAGCTTTTAGGATAGTTTAGCAGCTCTTTTTTTTTTTTTTATGATGATCACATTTTACTGTTGGCATAGCATGTCTAGTATATTCCAAGTCAAATCATATAAGAGTATATTTACTCTTTCTGTATTTATTACATGTTTATGTCAGCTTTACGATAAATATTTCTTTTTTTTTGGAATACTTTATTTTGAAGTTTTCAATTTTGGAAGAACAATACACCTTAGTTCCACTGAAATAAAAATAAAACAATATATAATATGGAAAATAATATAAATGGTAATCCAAAAGACAGATTACCAAAAAGAATAGTACAAAGTTTAGAGCGGGTCCAGGGCTACGTTAAATATTTCAAAAGGAAATTGCCAGCTCCTCCTTTGCCCTCAAACCCGGTGTGATGCTGTTTCAGCTTCCCGGTGATCCTGTCCATAGAGGAGCACTGCCCCATAGAGCAGCAGCGTCAGATGGCTCGCATCTTCAAAGATGTGTTCGGAGACAAACTTCTGACGGACCCAGTGGAGCAAATGGCCGAGCAGCTCCCTTCCCCCACACAGCTGAAGGGAAAGATCATCCTGAAGGTACCTGCTCTGAACCCAGCCGAGGCTGTTTTATCAGAGAGATACAATGACTCTCCTTGTTGTTTTCGAGCAGCACAAGAAGCTCAACGTGGAGGGTGGAGGGACCAGTAAAGACTTCAGGAAGGGCCAGAAGCAGGGGGATCTGGAGATCTGGGACCCTGTAGACCAGGTACAGTCCCAACCATCCTGTAAAGTCAGAAATTGTTGAAAGCGTGAATTTGTGGTGTAATTGTGAAACATTTGTGTATTAAAAAAGGAAAACACTTATTCGTCTTTACACAGGACACATTAGGCTATGTATAACCCATATTTCTCTTTGTCTGCGCCCACATTTGTGTGTAGAAAATCCCCACATTAATCCTTTTAATATCAGACCAGAAAAAATGAGTTTAAAAACAAGTATCAAATTGAGCAATCTTTTTTTTCCTGCTTAGCTTTTGCAATAAATGGTTCAAAGGAAGTGTGAAGAATACATAAAGCTGTAATCTATCAGCTTCCTCCATAAATTCCTGCCTGCCCAGGTTTGTGTGCGAACAGATCATTCATTAATCTGCCTTGTTGGTTTATTCCTGCTTTGACTGGTACAAAAGGACACTTTCTGTAGTGAAACTTCACCATTAAAGGAAGGGAGGATCATCCATTAATGTAAAAAATATTTAAAGAGTTTTTACATGTCTGTAAAGGAACATGATTTAGCTGATGTATTTGGGTTTTGAGACTGTTATAACTGTAACTGTAACTGTAACGGTTCTTTCTATTTTCGCTACAGCTCTGCTGTCATTTAAGCCATTTTTCTAAAAAATTTTTTGTGTTTTTCAGCCATTTTGTGTCTGTGTCATAATTTTGTGCTTCCGTGTGCCTTTATAGTTAAACCATCATTCAAGAGAATCCCTGAAGCCCATTTTAAATGAAAGCTCTTCACAGTGGTTGCTCCGTTTGGTGCCGGGAGTCTCTCTGAGATAGGCAAACATTCAAATATTTCCTCTCTTTTTGTTAGCGATGGAACACGCACTACTGTGTGATCTCTGATGATAAACTGTACTACGCAGATGAGTATGAAAACGAAGAAGAGGATCCCAGGAAGGTAAAAAAAAAAAACAACAACACAATTTGAATAGCATCACATGTTAAGTTGGTCCTATTTGGCCAGTCAGAAAAATGTACTGTGTGTATTAAAATCAAAAGGGCTCTGGATAGGAGCAGTTTTTTCATATTTTTATTCTGTTTTCTGTTAGCTGAGGTTGCAGAGCGTGTGAACAAATGTGTGTTTCTCAGTATCAGGACCTCCACTGTGCAGAGCCGTGGTTTCACGGCCGGATGAAGGAGGGCAGGCAAATGGCGGAGAGGCTGATCCACGACTACTGCACAGAGACGGGGGGGCGCGACGGCACCTTCTTGGTCCGGCAGAGTGACACATACGTCACAGACTTCACCCTCTCTTTCTGGTAAAGTGTCCCGTGCCCTCGACTCACCTGCTGCTGCGTTTGGGGTCTTTGTCCTGTCGGTGGTCCAGTTTCAGTCCAGCTTCAGATGTGCCACAGACGGCCGCACATCTGAGTCTGGACACTGTGGTGTCCAGAGGAGCTCATGGTGGACTCCCAGAAATAAACATGTGAAGTCAGGTGTTCATAGCAGATATTTGAGAAAAAAAAGGCAGCTCATAAGGAGCTAAATCCTCCTTTAAATCCGACTTTTTCCCACACAGTTTTCTTTTCATGTGCAGCTCTGTGTAACTGTCTGTCAGAAGGTGCTGAGGGGCTCAGAGGTGAGCTGACCCCTGGTCTTTGGTTCCTTCAGGCGCAGTGGGAGAGTCCAGCACTGCCGGATTCGCTCGTCCCCGGAGGGGAACCAAACCAGCTTCTTCCTCACCCCGAACCTGTCCTTTCCCAGCGTGTACCTTCTGATCCATCACTACAGAGAAAACCCGCTGCGCTGCCAGGACTTTGAGCTGCGCCTCACCGACGCCGTGCCCAAGCCCGACCCACACCTGCAGGAGGGGTTCGTCACCGTCAGCCAGCAGATCCTGGCCCTTTAGCTTCAGATTGCATCACAATCGTCAATGTGGCGTTTTTTGTGTTCTTCTGTTGAGTCATACTCGCGCCGCTGCCCAACGCGGTTTCGCTTTGACACCTTTCACTCTCATAACCCGGTCAAACGGGCCTCCTCTGCTGCTCTTCTGTTTCGGCTTCAGCCCCCGCCCGGCTGCGAACTCAAAGGTGACGGCGGTGTCCTTGTTTTTGTGCCCCGCAGGTGGTTCTACAGCAACCTGAGCAGAGGTCAAGCAGAGGACTACCTGCTGAGGATTCCCAGAGATGGAGCTTTCCTCATCCGACAGAGAGAAGGAGAGCCGGACTCCTTCGCCATCACGTTCAGGTACAAATAGGAAAGTCACAAGTCAGCAATGGGACCGACTGAGAGACTCACTTGAGCATTTTCCTGCTTTTTCAAAGCTGCATAGTCCTGACACATGCCAGCTAAAGTAAGCGCTAGCAGCCCCTTAAAGGTCAGAGGTCAGAGCTCAACCACAGAACTCTGCGGCGCTCTGAAAGCACTCTAATGTTTTATTCGTTCATACCTTCTTCAGCGACTTTTTTAGGCCCAAATTATGTTTTAGAATACTGAATATATTGTTCTGTATTCAGTGTTTTTCTCTTAATTGGCTTGATCGGTAGTGATGATCTGTTTGTTCACACATATGGCTGATTAGAGCCTCCTACTAGAGTGTGTCCATAGTGAGCATTAATCCCCAGACTGTGTTTGGTGACATTGTTTTGGGCCAAAGATGTCAGCCTTTGGCCCAGGCAGACATCCCTGCCCTATCTGGGCTACCCACACCTTTTTTGTGGTTGTCGTTCCTCCATTAATCGCCTTCTCTCTCCCTCAGAGGGGACGGTAAAGTAAAACACTGCCGAATCCAGAAGGAGGGAAACATGTACCTGCTGGGCACCACTACAGAGTTTGAGAGCCTGGTGGAGCTGGTCAATTACTTCAAGAAGAAGCCACTGTATCGGAAAATCAAGCTACGCTACCCCGTCACCCCTGAGCTGGTCGATCGCTTCAGCTCGGTGAGTCTCTGAGTCCGTCCATCTCATTTCTGGCCATCAGTATCTCTGTTAAGCAGCTTCTCTGTTCTCACTGCTTTTTTTTTTAGGACTTGTGCATGTTTATAGCAGCAGCTCCCACAAATAGAATCAAATCTGAGGAGCTGAGCCGCTGTTTTTAGACTTTTTACACAGTTTTCCCTCTGATATGTAGCAATTGATTTGAGCTACCCTCTTGGATATTAAAGGCCTGCTCATGAGTGCCTGCTAACAATGTTCTGTGCTTCTCAGGAGAAAAACTGTGCTTCCCTGTACGAGGTGAAGACCTACGTGGAGCCCAATGAGATCGAGCCCTCGCTGGTGCGTATGCAGCTATACTCGGTCCACTCTGGACGTGTCCCGCGGTTTCCTGTGATGACGACACTAACGGCAGCTCGTTCTGGGCTCTTTTAGCCTCAGAATACAGTTCGGGCTTTGTACGCCTACCAGGCGACGAGGCCGGATGAGCTGAGCTTCATTAAAGGGGCCTTGATCCACAACGTGTCCAAAGAGATCAGTGGATGGTGAGAAAAACGCACAACCAGGAAGATTTGACACTGTAGTGTTTTTAGCCCATCTGTATCTGTGTACTTGGTAATGAGAAAACCACAATACAGTATATAGAAATAAGTCACTGACATTTAAAGCCAGCACGTTTGCTCTCTGAGCTTATCTTTTGTTTCTTTGCGGTACCTTTTCACCTTTTTGTTTTGTGGTCTCTGCACTTTCTGACTGTTTGGTCCTGTTCTATTTGGTCTTTTCTTTCTCTCTACATTAGTTTTGCACCTGTTTGTTTCTCATTTTTTAATTTACTTCTCTGTGTAGTTTTGGGGCTCTTTGTTAGCATCTTTCCTATATCTGTTTACAACTTATTTTGCGTTTTTCTTTTTTACTTTCGGAGTCTCTCTTGTTGGTCACTATTTTTAATCTTTGTAGTTGTTAGCTTGCTCCGCTCTTGCAGCATCTTTTTTTGCCGTGCCTCTTTGTGTATGTCCGTGCCTAGCAGGTATTTTTGAGGCTCTGGAGTCATTTAGAGTGTCTTTGTGTTACTTTTGCATGTCTTTGCTGTCGTGTGGCATCCTGTTGCCCCTTTGCAGCCACTTTGTGACTGTTTCTTTGATCATTTGTCCTATATATCTGTTTGTTGTAACATTTTGTGAATTCTCTCGATAGCTTTGTGGCTTTTTGTGACCATGATACGTCTCGTAGCAGACATTTGTTTGTCTTTTTTTCTGCTTATAGATATTTGTTGCCTCACTCCATGGAATTTTTTATCTCATTTTGTCAATTCTCTCATCAGCAGCAGCACAAAATTAAGATGAATGATGATGAATATTTTTTGGCCTGTAGCACCAGTTGGTCACAGAGGATAGAGAAACGTTCACCTTTGCATTAATTCTTATGAATTTAGGTGGAAGGGTGACCACGGTGGAAGGATACAGCTTTTCTTCCCCGCAAACTATGTGGAGGAAGTGTCCAACGGCACCCAGCCAGACATGAGAGCGAAGGTACACTCCAGAGCTCAGCTCACAGCCAAACTATTCAAATCAAAGCCCAGATTGAGTGAAAAACACGTTTTTGTGTGTCTGTGACGTGCCCTGAAACAGGATTTGGAAGATAATCCGCTGGGAGAGCTATGTAAGGGGATCGTGGACATATCCAAGTGCAACATTCAAAACTGTGAGTTATTTTGTGCTGCAGTGTTTTGCATTGACCTTGCTGTGTTAGTGTCGCTCTTCTTGATTGTTGACAGGATATTTTAAACGTAAAATAACATCTAGATGACATCTAAACATCTGTCAAAGATAAATCATCATTAGAAATTTAAGATGACAAACTACTGTTGAGCCTTTTGTCGGTATATTATGTAACTTGCAGTGAATCTGATGTAAATTGTATTCATATTACAAGCTGTGTGGTAACTTGTCAGTATCAGTTAATTTACTAGAAATGTTTAAGATTAGTACGTTAGTAATTCTGAGACTATATTTTACCTAAAATTTTAGCAGTCAAGGCCTGGTTTCAATTAGTTTTTTTTTTAGAATTTGTTCTGTGTTGACTAAATAAAGCGGGTTGTGATTCTTTGACACTAAATCAAGAGTTGTGCATCGGCCTTTGCCTCACTGGGCCTATGTCTCTTCTGACTATCAGTACGGAGCGGGAAGAACGGGAAGCCCCATGTGTTAGCCCTGCAGAACGCAGAGGAGGACAGCCTGCAGTTCGACCTGGCCACAGACACACTGGAGGAGCTGTTCGAATGGTACCAAGTGGCCTGGGACATCACCCAGAGAGCCATGAGCCAGCAGTACAACAAGGAACAAGAGGTCAGCGTCTCATGCCGTCAGCAATCATTTAAAAAAATAGGTGATGGATTGTTGAATGAATCTAATTACAGTAGAACCTCTACATACGAATTTTATTTGTTCCGGGACCCATCAGAATACACTGTAATTCGTATAATTCGTTCCACAGCCCAAAAACCTACGATAACTCCTTAATAGATACTGCAGATAATTACACATAGCAATAAAACAAATCCATTATATAAAAGTGACATGTAAAAAGAGATAAATTATAAAGAAATAATCAATAAAAACGTTTTTTATTTGGCATTTTACCTGGCGAACAGAGGTAGAGGTGGAGACTGAGATACAGGACGCACCCTAACTTACTCTAACTTTAACTACGTGAACTTTAAGCTAACTTAGCTTTTTTATTTTTTTTTATTTTAATATTTCATATATATTTTTCTATGACTTTGATGTACAATTGACAGAAATTTACTTTGGGTGTCGGGTCGAATATTTGATCAAATTTCACTTCGTATATTGGAAAATTCGTATGTTCAGGCTTTATCTCTCATATAAGAACACTGATTAGATGCTAGGGTCCTCGTGTCGCATGAGCCATCTGTGAAGTGGTATTGTGTTACAGTAAAGACCCTCATGGTTTTCGTTACACCGAGTTATCGCTCGTGTTGCTGAACCACAAAGAGTCATCGCACTGCTGGTCTGTCAGCATCACTGTAAACAGGAAGCGGCTGTTTTTCCACCCAATCTCAGATGAGGCAGCAGGAGGAAGTGGAGAAGAAGGCAGAGGTTGCCATGGAGATGTCGGACCTGGTGGTCTACTGTCAGCCACGCAGCAAAGAGAAGGACCGTTTTGGTGAGCACAAAGCCACACAGGAGCCGCTTGTTCTCCAGGGTCTTAGAGCATCACATGACCACCAATTAATTAACATCTATTGACGGGTGATTTAAAAGACATGTTTATGAGAATGTAGAAGATGCGTTTATATGAAAAAACTAACAAAATGGAAACAAAACTATTAGGGCAACATCCAAAGACTGTTAAAAAAATAGCCAAACTAATTGGACTTTCTGCCCACTAAAAGAGTCTCAAACACCACGGGTCTCACACCAACATCAGCCGGCCCACCGGCCCTGAGTGGTCTCATGATTCCCTCTAACCAGGCACAGCTGGATCAGCTCAACACACTCAACATAAGACCCCAACATAAGGCCATAACAATCAGCCACTCATTAGTTGACAAAAACGTGTTGTCATTATTCATTAGAATGAAAATGTGCTTTTCACCTCAACCACAAACCTCTGAGACAACCGGTATTGAAAGAAAACATTTGAATACATGTATTTGGCCACAAGAGCCACAGTATGAAAAGCATCTGCCTGGATGTGTGTTTATTCCCAATGACAGATTCTCTGGTCATAATGTTACAAAGTTTATGTGGGTGGTCATCCTCTGAGCAGCATCCACGTGAATGTCAGAACAAGGTTTAAAGCAGAACTCTGGTATATGAGATCTAGACAATAAGGCTAAAGACAATGAAGGCTAAATTAAACAGGAGACATCAGGAATCATAAGATATAACAACCTTATAAAGAAGGGGTTGGACCTCTTCCTTTATATTTTTGGCAGGTTGAATGTAATTTAAGGTATAAACATTTTGGCGGGAAGATTCTCAGGCAGTTGACGGGTTCAAAATAGGCTACGAAATCATGAGTGCCTAACGTAGATTAACTCACTGGTTCCTGCTTATTGTGCAGCGGCACTTTCTTACCACAATGGAAAATCTTAACGCTTTGAACCCAGTCATCTCAGTTCATTCAGAGAAGAGCTACCAATACAGTTTCTTAACCACAAGTTGTGCAGTAAGCAAAACGTGGCCAAAGGAAAAGATTGAAAGACCATACAGTTTCCTGTTTTTTAAGCTAGATACATTTCAATGGAAACAATTTATAGATGCTGTGCACACACACACACACACACACACACACACACACACACACACACACACATTTGTATACATGTATGCATTTATGCATGTCTTTGTATATATACATATAAACAACATTTATGTTGTAATATTAGATATTTCGGTTTATTAGGAAATAAAGATCAATCTAAAAAGGCTCAAATTTGAAGTTAGGAGTTACCTTGTGCGTCAGTTCTCATATTATATTAACTCTTCAATGCTCGAATGCATTATCTTTTATGTAAAGCACTCTAAATGGTCTTGTACGCGGTATGTGCCATACATAGATCAGGGTTAGAATTAAGAATGACCGAACCAACATACTCATATTTACCCTGTAGAAAATTACAGCTACAAGGAGATCCGCTCCTTTGGGGAGAACAAGACACCAGGAAAGAGCCGCACCAAGGACTTCCTTCAGTACAACCGCAAAGCTCTGAGTCGTATCTACCCAAAGGGCCAGCGTGTGGAGTCCTCGAACTACGACCCCTACCCCCTGTGGATGGTCGGCTGCCACATGGTGGCTCTCAACTTCCAGACTGCAGGTACAGATTTTTCTTGGTTGAGATGTGGGAGGTCCGTATGGCACTTCTGGATACTTTGTGACAAACATGAGAGCCCCGTGCCCCCACCCGGAGGGAAGGGTTACTGAGTGTCTGCGGAGTGGGTGGGTGGTGTCTTGTGATGTCCAATCTGTAGTATGTGTAGGGCCTTTAAGGTTTTTTGTTCTGTTTTAAGTTCGGCGTGAAGATTCATGTTATGTTGCCGGCAGAAACATGTGGAATAAGAATGGACTTTGTCACTTTGGTTGTTTCTTTTCAGTAGAATGAACACCTCACTGAAAATTTTTGAAGAGCAAGCCATGTAACAGAATGGCATTGGAAACATTTTTTTATTGTGTTTTAAGGCAGAGTGGGGTTTTTTTTTAAAGGTGAGGAGGGAAATTAAGTTTGCCGATAATCAAACCTTAACCAGTTAATGAAACCAACAAGAAGGTCAATCATTCGCTGCAAGAAGGTGTTTATTAAAAGAATATGCCTGGAAGTAAAATAGTTTTATACTCCAGTGGTTCAACAATGTGTGCGTTTCCACCCAGATAAGTACACCCAGCTCAACAGCGCCCTCTTCAGTCTGAATGGACGCACTGGCTACGTGCTCCAGCCGGAGCTCATGCGCTCCGACGGCTACGATCCCCATCAGGAGAAGAAGACAGTCCAGTTCAACATTAAAGTGAAGGTAGCTCACACACACGCATAAACAAAGCGATGATGGGCTGTGCTGGGCCGCCGCGTTTCCGGCTGGTGTGCAGATCTCCGTAAGGGCAGTTGGAGTTTGTTTTTTTCTTTCTTCTTCTCCTCAGGTGATCGCTGCCCGACACCTTCCCAAGCCTGGACGCAGCATCGCCAGCCCCTTTGTGGAGATCGAGCTGTGTGGGCTTTCGGATGAGAAGTTCAAGACCAGCGTCTGTCGTAAGGGATCAGAGTGTAGAGGCTGCAGAAGATGTTAAACAGCTCTGAGTGACTGACTGGCATAGAACATTTACAAACACCTTTCCCAGAAGTCCACATTTGCACAGTTTTACTGCTAATTCGGCTAATAAGTGAACTGATGGGACCATTAGCTTGGCGTGCCAGAGTTTCTACACTATGACTGGCTGAAACCAGTCAGGATTATCATAACCACTTATTGCCTGGGGACTGGAACCTATCCCAGTTGTCAATGGGCGAGAGGCGGGGTCACCCTGCAGGGACACAGAGACACACAAGGACAAACAAGCAGGCTAACCTACCTGCAGCTGCCTGCAGAAAAAGCCTGGCTAACTATTTATGGAGAGATGTTCACACACTCATTCACATCTTTTTTAATAGTTGCTTGTTAGACACAGACACCAGACGTACTTGCAGTGAAAAGAATTTGCTCAGTGTTGAAGGGAAAACAGATAAAATGATCAAATGAAAAATGATATGATTAAACCATAAGTTAATCTGCAGTAGTTGTTAGAACCCGAGCTTTAGGGAACACATTGATTCTAATTTTTTTTTTTTTACGGCTGTAGGTGACAATGGGCTGAACCCCGTGTGGAAATCCCAGGCAGAGATGGTGGAGTTCACCGTGCACGAGCCTGAATTTACCTTCCTGCGCTTTGTGGTCAACGAGGAGGACATGTTCTCAGATCCCAACTTCCTTGCTCAGGCCACGTTTCCTGTCAAAGGCCTCCGCTCAGGTGGGAACACGGAGATGCTGGTCCCATCTCTGTAGAGCTGTTATAACGCCACCGTTCCACCTAGCCTGGCATGTCAAAAAAGCTGCTTTATAAACACCCTGAACGATTGGTAGACTAATATCTGCACCAATAGAGCGAGTAAAGGCAAATGGGATTTTTCAGTTCTAAAGAAGTCTTCAAAATCCCCAAAGAAGTCCAGTTGCCTCCACTCAGGGATTAGCTTGACCTGTTCTTCAATAAAACTATAAAGAACGTGAAGACAGGTGACATAAATAAAGCTTTTATGTCACAATGAAGCTATGACTGATTAAATCCCATTTACCAGCAGATTATTCTTACATATCATTGTAAAAATTAACATTTTCATTCACTTCAGCGACTCTGCTGGAGATGTTTCGGTTGTTTAAGTGTGATTGGAGTGACTGTTTTCATTTGTTCTTCCCTCCACAGGTTATCGCTCCGTTCCTCTGAAGAATGGCTACAATGAAACCTTGGAGCTGGCCTCTCTGCTGGTCTACATCAACGTGCAGCCGGCGGGGGTGAGCGTCCACAGTCTGAGCGTGTCGCCGTTTCGGTCGGCCCGCAGCCGTTTGTGTGACGGCCGTGTCCCGGCTCATTTCAGAAACCGGAGGAGGACCTGTACTCGTCCTCCAGCCAGCTGAAGAAGAAGCAGAGCCAGCAGGGCGAGCCCTTCCTGTACGACACGCACAGCAACATCCAGCGCTCCACTCTGCCGCGCCAGCAGAACAACCTCTCCAGGGACTCCAGCGAGAGGAGGTCATTTCTCATTCAGAACATCTAAATTCCAGACTGGTCTGTCAGTCCACAACCCAAACAGAAAACCAGGCGGGGAACGCTACCTGCCGCAAAGTGTGACTCAGGTCTGAAGCCACGGTTCTCCATAGGAAGAGGATAGAGCAGTTAAACTGGCAGATTGTGTTTTTGTCAGCAGTAATGAGGTCATTGGTTGGGATTGGTTGAGCCCATAGTGGTAAAGAGGGAGATGACCCAATTAAGTGGCCCACCTTTGTTTCAGCGCTCTCTTACAGTCACAAGGGGAATGGTTGTGGGTTCTTTAATAAAAAATGGGGAGAGGCGGGGTCACCCTGGACGGTCCCCAATCCATCACAGAGCCACACAGAGACACACAAGAACCACCAACCAAACACACTCACTCCTAAGGGCAGTTTGGAATGTCCAATTAACCTGACATGCAGGTTTTTGGATGGTGGGAGGAAGCCGGAGAACCCGGAGAGAACCCACAGACACAGGGAGAACATGCAGACTCCACACAGAAAGGTCCTGGTTCCCCCGGAGACTCGAACCCAGAACCTTCTGACTGTGAGGCCAGGGTTCTGTTGTTATCTTTTAGTTATCTTGATAACCAGAAACCTTTAAAGGAGGTTGGACCACTCTGTTCACAGTTATGCAGCAAACTATTTGGCAGCTGCTCTGTGGAAAGAGCAGGAGCTCATATTACTGTCAGAGGTCACATGACGTGGCAGTTTCCCAGTCAGGATGGCCGAGCGGTCCAAGGCGCTGCGTTCAGGTCGCAGTCTCCACTGGAGGCGTGGGTTCGAATCCCACTTCTGACAAAGACCTTTTGGGATTCGTCAGTCACAGCTTTTGAAATGTCTAAAACACGTCTACATAAATTATTCCTTGTTAAAATGTATTTAGCTTCTTTATGTCTTAGCTTGTCTCCTTCGGCTCCAAAAAGAAGAGGATTTCATATCAATTTGGTTCTATATTTATTGTTAAAACATTCTTAGCCACTTTCCATTGCACCACTGAGGAATGAAGGAATTACATTTTAACACATTTTCATATTTGACTGTCAGTCTAACATCAGACCCATAAGACACATTTTTGAAGCCCTGCGAAAAGTAAACTCTGTATGAAGTGAAAATTGCCTTTAACTTTTCTTTCTTTACCCTGCAGGATGAAAGGGAAGAAAATAAACAACAGCAAGTTCTACTCCTGAGGCCTCTTCTGTCCACCTGACCATCACAGAATGGAAAGGTTAAAGGTCGTCCAGCCAGAGTGAAATTTCAATCTATTTATTTAAGATGAAAAAAAAACATTTTTTTCGACTGTAATAGTTTCACAGGTGTGGAAATATCAGAAAAAACTTTAGTCGGCCAGCGTCGTGCTCCTTGAGTCTGCAGTCGGTCTGTGAGTCATGTGACACAGATGGTATTTATTTTCAAGCAGAAACATTGTTCACATCCAGTAATCATTTTTGCTGCCTTGCAGAAGGCCTCAATAGTGCAGAGGAGCTTGTGTTTGAATCGTTTTTTGGTCGCGATGTTGAAAAGTGTGTGAAGTGTGATGGTACTGAAGGCAGTTTTTGCCAATGTTTGAACAGTGTGACATTATTTTCCTTTACTATGTTTTTTAAATCCAGGTGAAGTCAGATTCATGAGATTTATCAAACGCAATGAGAGTGTTTATGATATTTAAATAAATAAATAATTCCTCTTGGACTTTAATCTCAAGTGAGTCAATAAAGAGTGCTTGATGTCAATTTCTTTTTTATTTCTTAGGTTAATATCAGGTCCTGAACCATTTGTAATGGCAAGATTTAGTCAGCCCCTTTACATCTTAAAGCTCCAGCTGATGAGCTCACAGCTCAAGTTTCAGACCAGAATGTGAACAAGATCTAATGAAGTTTCTGTAGGCGAGCTGTGATAAAGATCTGTTTGGGTTCTCTGACAAATAAGCAGCAGTTACTCCTCTATTCCTTCATAACACTGGGCTGACCTTTGGGAAAGAAAAAGGATAAATTCCCCCCTCAATTTATTGCTGACGCAACTCTTACACCAGTGTCTGAATTATGTTCATCCCTTTTTCTCCAGTCATATTTTACTCTTTTGCTTTGTTATTTTAAACAGCTAAAAGTAGTAACAGTTACCCTATAATGACACATATATTATGCAGCCTCTGTGTTACAACCTGACAGGTTTGCTCTGAATGAAGCATCTAAATGCTCATTAAATATTTGTGGTAATTTGGTAACTATTTCTAAGTCCTTAAGAATTTCTTGCACCATCTCTCCCGTAATGTTTCCCTGAATGGCCAATGAGAAGAGCTGAGAGAAGGAAAGAAGAGGTCGTTTTGTGACTGTTAGATGAGCAGTCAAAAGCAGCTGTCAGCTCCAGAGGTTATCAGATCCCAGAATCAGGTCTGGGCTCACAGTCACTCCCACTGCTAAGAAGGATGAATCCGGTATAAAAATAGTATTACTGTAAAGCTACATGAATTTCCTGTGAACAAAACAGCTGTCATACGTTTGTTATCGTGAGCAGGAACTTTATTATTGATCAGGACTGAGTGATACGGGAGTAAAAAGAAGAACCAGGTCCCCTAAAGTAAACAAAGAGTAGTTATTGATTAATTACAAGTGTATTTTATGGCCACAGTTTACTATATATGTGCTTCCCATTATGTCAGAAATGTCTCTTTTTCTACTCGTATAGTCATGACCTTTGACCTTTAACATGCTAACCGGTTGCTGTAGAGCCGGAGATGCAGATCTTGAGTTGTTTTTTTTTACCTTGGGGTGACGCCTGGATGCCGGAGCAGCAAAGTGACAAGATTTCAGCTTTTAATAGAGCTGCTCACAGTTCCCGATGACCGGTCAAAGCATTTGATATGCAGCGACTGGCTACTACTTAATAATAAATGATAAGGTCTATTAGCTTTTTTTCACAAGGCTTCATTTTCACCTGCTGTTTTTTGAATGAATAATGAGACGGTTATCTGTCATCGCAGGCTTTGCGCTCCCAATATTTGGGGCAGGTGAGAACCAGGTGAGCTTGTTTGACTTGATTTGTTAATAAAATTAGTATATCAAGACTGGACATGATGCAAGCTCTGTTACACACACAGAAACGTCTGTGATATCCAAGGGAAAATAGAAATGTTAATTATTTTTTATCGAATTATCCAAACAAGCACGACAGTGTTTCTCGTGAATGTATGGTTATCTACCATTTCTACTGTTTCTTCTTCAGTCTTCCAGTGACCAATATGGGGTTGAACTCCTCACAGCTTTGTTCACATGCCCTTTGACACACAACCCAGTCATGCCAATGTGCTTCACAGCTTCAAAAAAGAAGAAAAATACAGACAAACTTTGGAAAAGTCTTACTTTCAAGCCACAGCTCACAAAATTCCCCTTCAGTTCAGCCAATTTATTTGCAGACTTTACCAAAAAGTAAAAACATTCCTGCGTTTTAAAGACACGAGTCAGTTAAACAAACTGAGCAATCTAAGCTAAGCAACGCCCTCTGGGTGTGGGATAACCTCCACACCCCAGAGGGCGCTTGTGACTCAGTTTTGTGTGTTTGTACTCCCTTCTCTTGGTTGTCAAACATATTAATGAGTCACCCAGGTGAGTGGCCTCTGAGAGCCATATGGGAGGTGCCAGAGCTGCTAAAGGAGCGAAGCCAGAGCAGGGAGGAGATGAGGAAACACTGTGTGTGTGTGTGTGGGAGTGTGAAGGAAGGAGAGCCTTTAAACACCACCATTAGACACCTGTCAGGGCAGGTAGGAGGACTGACAGATGGATATCTGAGGTTTAACCCAAGGGATCTTTTCTAATCTTTCTTTTTTTTCTTTTTTTTTTAATACCGGGTTAACTTTTTGTAGTGTTTGACTTTTCAAACAGCAATATTTAGAAGATTAGGCAGAGTTGGTGGAAGAGGACTTTTCCAACAAATCCTTGTGTTTTGAGGCTGAAGGAGGCTTAAGGCGCTTGTTGTTCCTGAGATAGCCTGCTTCAGATCATGGCTGACTTCCCATCCAAAGTCACCACGGAGACGAGCGCCGGCGGCTCCCAGAGCCAGCAGCCGGGGGGAAACAGCCTCAGAGGAGTGGCTGCCAACGTCACCAGCAAGATGGACATGTCCTTTATCCGAAGCATCCCAGCCATCCTCATGATGGCTGAAATAGTACGTACCACCCTTCTATCTCCACTCAGGACGCACGCTTTTTCCTGCTCTGCCTCTTATTCACACATCCGTCCGATGAAGTTCCACAAAAAAAAACATGAAACTACCAGAAAGCAGAATTTCTCATCACAGTTTGTTGCTCTCTACTCCACCAATTGATTTGCATATATGATCTTCAAGAGTTAGAATCAATTAATTAAGATTAATATAGTGTTACTTCCAGTATGATCCTGAAAGTGTGAGACAGGGAAGTCTTCACAAGTGGGAGCAGATCAATAAAAACCGTCCTCAGGTGATGTGGAGAAACTGCTCTTTCTAAGTGTTCATTTATCTATTTATTTTTTCCTGTGCCTGAAGAGGAGATTCTTTCCCACAGCAAACCGCGTGTAACAGAGCGGGTTTGTTATTTTTGTAGGTTCCCTCCCCAGAGTTTGTTGTCCTATGAGGAGCAAAGCACAGGATAAGTTTTGTTTTCCAGATTCAGACCTATACCTGAAATCTGAACTGAAGCTGGAGTTGTTATTTTCTGTTTATTCTTAATTACTTTTTACTTTGTGAATTTACCTTTGATGTTCTGTTTTCCCTTTTTTGTCGGTGCCTTCGCAACAGTAGGACATTTCCGAGTGTTTGCATGCCGTGCGGCTGATGTGACCAGTGATAACTTCCCCTTTATTTGCATTCCCACGAGCCAGAGCTGCATCGAACAGCTGAGACTCAGACAGAAATGCCCAAACTGTAAAAAAATAAATAAATACATTGAAATGGGGGCAGTAGGACCGTTTGATCTGAAACCTAAAATCAGGGTTTAGATGTGGATTCTGGGAGTTTATGTCAGATTTTGATCTGCAGTCCACTCTAAGAGTATGAGCTGTCAGCATTATCTGAGAGCAAATGTGAAAAATATAATCACAACGCAATGTGTTTTAGAAACGATGACATCAGATAGAGTGAACATAGCGTCCGTGCAGGAGTCAGTCCCTGCTAACTGAATGCCGTGTGGCCTCTGGGGGGGGAGCCAGTCCATGCATGTGATTATAATCTTCTTCTTTGTTTCTATTCTGCTTGATTGATTGCAATCTGACGCGGTTCTTAATACATGTTAGATGAGAAAAGTATAGTTCAATCTGAAACATAAAGCCAATAGTGTTGAATGCAAACTATAAAGATGATTTAAAAGCCAGGAAACTGGTCATAACTGGCAGTAGATCCTGTTATTACCTTTAGATCTTATAGTGAGATCCAGTTTAATCTGTAATTAAAGAATGACTTCCAGACATATAATTTGATGGTGTTTTGTAAACCACACCACTGCTGTTAGAAAATAACATTTCAATCATTTGTGTTTACCCTAAAATGAATTATGGTGGGCTTATATGCCCCTTTCACTAAACATTGTTTTTCCATCTCTCTGGCCTAATTCTTGTGTTATCTCGTCGGAAAAAGTTGATAAGGTTTAGTTTATTTTTCTTTTTTTCAATTTATTTGATTAAATTTAGTGAATTAAAAGTTACAGTTAAGATTTAAACTACCTTCTTAAGCCTATTATTTTTTGTCTCTAATTTAGACTTTTTTAGACTTTGTAATCTGCATGTTGATCAATTTATGCCCGATTTTAGTTCTGATTTACCTCGGCTCTTTTATATTTCTTAGATACACATATACAACAGGTCTTCTTTCCTTAGAAGACCTGTAGAAAATCAGGATCGATTCCATTTAAAACCCAGTTTTAGTGGATGTGAGTACCTGTACTACAGATGTATACATATGTGTATATCTGTATTACAGATAGTTTAGGATCAGTAACATATAGTGTTGACATATAGTAACACGTAGTTCCCTAAATGACTGAGGATGAGTTAATAAGACACTACACTTTATCATAAGTTCTTCAAATTCCATTCAGATGTGCAGCAGCCATAAAAATATTTGTACTCTTGATCTGATGACACAGAATTGAGCATAAATGTCACTATGTATCGATCCATAAAAAGAGTAATAATGTCTCTGGTAACAGGATGTTTGTTCTTTGTGGACTCAGGAGCAAAGAACCGCGGGGGGCGCTTTCATTTGTGTGCAGAAAAATGGGTCTTTGGAGGTGTGTTTGCCCTAGTCTCTGTCCACACAGAGGACATGTGACCGGCTGGATGAGGAAGAGAACTTTGTCCTCTTGTTGCCTGTCCCCTCCCATCACATGATCCCTCTGATGTTGCCATTATGGCACTAAAGCTCAGTCTTAAAGGACTAAGAGTCGCTGTTAATGTTCACTCTGCTTTGTCACCTGACTGTGTTTTATGTGTTGATGTAGTAGTAAGTCCAGTCAGTCCAAATTAAGCAGCACTTTGTGTGCGATTTAATGGCTGATTTAAACCTTTTTTACACGGCCATTTCTCACCCGTCCCGACACCCGTTTCGATCAGGTGATCACAGAATCCTCCAGATCGGATTGTAACTTCATTTCTATCTTTTCAAAGCACAGATGGCCAAACAAAAAAAAGTGCATTAGTTTGCTGGAACGGTGACAGATGGGATCTGAGGATGACGGAATCACTTTGCCTCAAGGTTAATAAGAAGTGAACATAACCTCATAACAGTAAAATGAGGTTAGTGAGTACAGGAGACAGGCTTAGGTGGCTGCCATAAAAAAAACTTTGGAGGGCTTCTGTTTGAGCTTTTATTTGGTTCTGAAATCTGGACTTTAAGTTTGCATGTCATCAACTAAACAGTGGAGCACAAAGAACTGCTCATTTTTACCCCCTCAGCAACAATTTGTCTGCAACAGAAGAAGCTAACACTGATAAAAATGCAGTTAGGTTCAGACTGTTTGTTGTTTTCAGCAGAAAAATTCAACTTTCTGCAGCCACAAAAGTACAAAACAAGACGGTCTAAGAAAAAAAAAGGCTTTTTATTTCTTATCTAATTTTGGTGATATGATAAGTGTTGAATAATCACTTTTTTTGGACATATAAGTGCTTCCGTAATACTCAGTTTTCAATTAGAAAACTTCAACAATACCCAGAAAGAAGCAGAATACAAAGCTACCAACATTATGCTTGAGACATTTTTTAAAACGAAGCATCTTCAGTTGTTGTTTTGTCTGCTGTTGGTTTCCAGTTTCATTCCCGCTGCTCCTCATGTAATATTAATTAATAATATGCCCCACATATCCCATCATAAATTCCACCCGCAAAACTGGCACAAATGCTAGCCTGCAAACTTTATCTCAATAGATATGTGAACTTGGCTCGATGTTTCACCCACTTCTTTTATCTCTGGACATTTGCAAAAGCAATAAAAAAAAAGGCAGTAAAAGGTTAAATGGTGCTCTCAGCGTGTGCGGCGATAATCTGCTCCTGATTTCATTTCAAGTGTTTTCGACGCAGCTTATTTGCTGCTCGTGTTGTTCAGATAAGACGTCTTATTGGGTCCCATGTAAAGGTCATCCTGCCAGCCTGCTGCGTTTGTGTTCCCATCAAAGTGAAACATGATCGACTGTCCTTTCAGGCCTGTTCTCTGGAGACAGAAGCCTGGAGGAAAAGGGAGAAGCCCTGTGTGGCCTCTTTCTGACTTTTTACAAATGAACTCCAAGCCAGCAACAATAAAAACAGATTGAGCTGAAGGAAAATTAGAATATAACATAACAACATATTGATGTAATAGATATGAATACAGTAACCTTTTTGGAATGATTTCTGATGACATCTTTGATAATGTCTACAATGTTTAATTGTTAAGTGATTTTTGTTTTGCCTTGTGGACCCCAGGAAGACGAGCTCATCCAACTTTTGGTGACCTTTTTAACAATAAACGACACGATCATAGGCGACAGTCTTTGTAACATGAAACATGATCGGAATCCCTTCATCATGTTTTATATTGCAGTCTTGTGTATTTCTGATTTGCTCCCCAATTTGTCAATACAGATTCTTGCAATTTTCTCGGCCTCTGCTTGTTTTTACTTCTGAGAGACTCTGCCTCTTTATGGGGCTCTTATCATATCAGTCCTGTTATTCTCCTCTCACCAGTTCACCCTTATGGCTGCAGGCTGTTTCTTATATAGTGCGACTTACTTTAAAAGCTACTTGTTGCTCTTTCTCAACTTTTTGATTACAGATGAGCTAAAAACTTGGAAAGATTAAAGTGAAACTTTTCATAAATTTGCTATATTTTCACCACTAGAATGATAAAGATGAAACCATAGTGTTGTTTTGGGCCCTGCTTTTGCTTAGAAAAAGGACTGTACATTTGATAGTATATTAGCCTGCAGTGCGTCTGATGAAAATGTGCACGTTTCACGTACTGAATGCTGGTTTTTGACAGACTCCAAATCAATGCGTTTGGTTTCTTTCCAGTTTGTGGGGTTGCTCCACTGGGCGCTGATAGCCAGCACACCCTACACGGCCCACCCGACGTATGGCTGGGTGATGTTTGTGGCCGTTACCCTCTGGATCCTCACCACCATCCTCTTCCTCATCATCCTCTTCAGCGTCACACGGAGGCTGGCTTTTGTCCCCTGGCTGATGACGGTAGGAACAGGCGTCCACTTCAAAATCAAAACTGTTTCAGTGACCGTTTCTCTGAGTAAATTTGGTTTAAGCTGCACAATTCAAGTAAATTTTCCTTTTTTTCAAATTAAGATCCATTGCTTTATGTTTAATTTTTAACATCTAACACACAATTTGGCTAAAAACAGACTAAATGTTTGTCAAAATCAACCAAGGGTACGACACAGGAGGAATAAATAGATAATGAACAAAAAAAGACCTGCCAAGGGATGAGGAGGCAAAGGGAGAGTAATCCAGAAGAGCTTCTATTGGGGAGAGTGATTCCTTGAATGAGGGGCAGGTGAACAGAACTGGAAGAAGACAAACAGGAGGGAACAGGAAACTGAAAAGATCCCAATACGGTAATAAAACACAGGGAATGGGACTCAAAGAAACTTTGAAATACCTAAAAACATGGAAACAAGAACAAGAGGTCAAACAAAAAAAGACCAAAATACCCCAACTCATGACTCAGACCAAACGAATTGAACGCAAAATTATTTGTATTAATTAAGAGAAGTAGTAAGGCAATACAGGGCATGCAAAACGAGGAATACTTGGCGCTGAGGTCACATGTGTGTTTCTGCTCCTCTGATAGGTGATGGCGTATAACGGCGTTGCCACGGTTCTGTATGTCACCGCTTTTCTGGCCAACGCGGCGACCGTGAACCACTTTTATTGGCCTTTCTACCAACACATGGGAGCCGCAGCAGTAAGACCCACACCACTCACACAGACAGACCTACGGAAAAAAGCTTCTGGATCAGAGGCCAAACGTCTTCTAGAAAACTTCACCTCCAGCTGCCTGAACTGGACTTTCAAAGCAGTACCATAATAGAGATGTCATAGGAAAAAAATCACGTAAAAGTTGGGTTTAATCATACATTAACGGAGCAGTCAGGTGGATGTGAGGCAGCAGCTGGAGAGCAGAGATCTCCGCTGTGCTTTACAGTCTTTTACAGAGACTGAAGTCCATCCTGCTTTACGGCCACAGTAGTATTTAGCACATGATTCAGCCACATGTCCACCCACTGCCCCAGACTTCTACATTTCACAAACTTATCAGCTTTTACTGCCCCCTGAGGAACCAAAGGTGAAAGGCATGCACGTTTGCATGTTGGTGGATTGTTGAAGCTTCCAAATCACAAGGAAAGATGAGGCTGTGATGTACCTGAGATGGCGGCATGGTGGTGTGGTGGTCAGCACCATGGCCCCACAGCCAGAGGGTTCTGGGTTCAAGTCCCCGGGGGAACCAGGACCTTTTTTGTGTGGAGTCTGCATGTTCTCCCTGTGTCTGGTGGGTTCTCCGGCTTCCTCCCACTGTCCAAAAACCTGCATGTTAGGTTGATTGGACACTCCAAACTGCCCTTAGGAGTGAGTGTGTGTTGTTGTTGGTCCTTGTGTGTCTCTGTGTCGCGGTTACTTTTCTCTGCTTCCGGAGTCGTGTCCACGCTCATGCTTCTCCTCCTCTGTGTGTCTGTGCAGTTTTTTGGAGCCGTGGCGTGCGTGCTGTATGGGGCCAGTGCTTTCTTCTCCTATTTGGACTGGAAGGGCGACGGAGGGAACGCTGCCACCAGCACGGTGCCGACCTAAAGACTCCCGCTGATCCTGGAAGTTCAGCGTTGATACTCGGCTATCGTCACGGCGTCGTCTGACTCTCAAAGCCCAGCCTCAGCTGAACCACCGCACGGACCAGCTGGGGCCGACTCCATCCACACAACGATACCACATCAACACAGCGGACTCACAAACTGATTGGTGGCCTTTTGTGATCCTACGTTGACCAAAAAACTCCTGAAGCTCCCCTTCTTTTATATTGTAAATATGAAGAATTTAGAGGCCGCCCCACTAAAAATTGAAAAAGGTAAATCGAAGATTAAAAAAAGGTAAAAGAAAGGTAAACAAAAAAAGAAGAAAGCTTCCAGTCCCCATAAAGCTGTCTCAACAACCTGTTAGTTGATATTTGACCAGGTGTTATGAGGTGGGCTAACTTTGTGCCTGGCTGTGAAATAGTGACTGCCTGAAGTCGTATAACTGAATAACTTTAAAAAAATAATTTAAATGTCCTTTTAAAAAAAATGGAGCAACTTTTTATTTTATTTTTTACAGCAAATAACAAAATGAAGAAGTGCTGACTGGTTGACTTTGTCCTCTTTGAATAGAGGCTGCTGGGTGGCCACATGGACAGGGACCAAAATGATAAAGGTCCTCATATTTTTCTAATTAAAAATGAGTTACTATAGCCTGAAAGCAAATTCAGTAAAATATGGAAAAACAATGGATTTATAAGCTTCAGAAATGATAAAATAGGTTTAAAATCATGGCAAAATGTAGGGTAGTTGTCTGAATGGGAATATGTGTCATGTGCTCCCATATTTGCACCCTGAAATGAAAAATGCTCCTTTCAGTGAGAGCAAAACTGAATTCAAGCCCCATGCGAACTCATTTCCAACTTCTTTGGTTGTGCTGTTTCCATCCATCATGGAGAACAACGAAGGATACGATCATTTGTTTCGATTTCTTTGTTTACAGATCCATCTCAGCCTCCCTTTGAATTAAACTGTTTTTGTTTTTTTCTGAGGCTCCTTCATTCTTAACTCCAGCTTAACCCAGCATGCTCGTCACTGGACTGTGGGAGGAAATGACAGTGGCTGGAGAAAGCTCACAGATAGAAAGGTGTGTTAATGTGATAAAAGCCCTGATAAAAACATGCTGGCTTTGCTTTCTGTAAGCGTTCTGACGCACTGAGGTGGGTCCTGAGTACTTGAACGCCTCACATGGTTTCACATGAAACATCTTCCTGCTGGACTGTAAAATGCCTTTATAGAAATGTGTCTTTTTGTACCAAGAATTGAAATATAAGTGATGGTGCTCAGGTGGTTTTCATCTTTTTTATTTGAAAAGTGTTTTCCTTTACAAACACTGTTTCACCAGGTACATAAAGTTTTTTTTTCAGAATGAAAACTTTTAATGTTAAAACAAGTAAAAAAGACTTTGACACTGTACCGACATCTCATTTCAGACACACACATCCATAAATAGACTATTTACACGGACGAGCCTTTTCACAGACATTAGTTTGTTAGCTGACAAAAGTATCTAAACATTCATATAAAGCGTTATCTCTACTCCTGTTGTCTCTGATCGAATAAAAGACAAAAGGAGACTGAACCGGTAAGTGACAGCGGACGTTTGCCTGCTCTGAAGGGATTTGATTCACATGCACAAAACAGAAACACAGAAAAAGGTCTTATTGCACAATATGTGATTAAGAAGACGGTTGTAAAGTCGGGACTCTAACTCCCTTGCAGAGGTTCGACCAATCGGACATTAAAAAAAAAGTTGTGCAGATTGAATATTAAGGTCGAGCGGACCCTGAACGCAACACTGTCTGCAGGTCTGTGGACACAAAGCTTTACCTACAGTGGTGGAGGAGGCAGTTTCACTGGGATTCAGCAGAGCCGACGTGTTTGGAGCCAAACAGGGTCAGAGGTGTGACCACCAGCCCCTGGCTCAGGTCCAGTCCTCGGCCGTCCTTTGACTGGACACAGAGGTTCATGCAGGCAGAATTAGAGGCAGAACCTTAAAGTCGTTCAACATTTTTAGGTTTTCTAGAGTCATGAGCATTTGATTCATTTGGTTCTCTTTCCAGGGCGAACAAATTCAAACAAAACAGATCTAAATAAAATATGAATGTGTATTAATATGGAATGTGGAAAACCTTAAAGGATCAGAAAATTATCCTGCTGAAATCAAATGGTAACATTGGCTCTTTTTTACTATTTACATTTGATATCAGCTTATTTTAGCCTTTATTTATCTAATATCAAGCTAATGTTCAAAGTTCCAAAGAAACTTCAATACAAAAATAAAACACAGATGAGATGATCAGCGACTATGTTCCCTTAACAGCAGACTCACAGCTCTGTATTCCACAAACATCTCTTTGAAGGCCACGAAGTCTGTGAACGTCAGCAACATGTCAAAGATGTCCCCCGAGACTTCGTCTTTGTGCTGCCTTCAGAGGAAAGAGACAGACAGAGGCTCATTTCCAGCTTCTCTTTTCCGCCCCACGAAAAAGTTCTCAAGGTCAAAAAAACATTGTACTAGAAAAAAAAACTACAACTCTAATGAATAATGAAAACACAACAATATAGAAATACATTCTACAAAATGTGCATTCAATATAACCCATGGAGCTTTGTTATCGTGATGTTTTTTAAAACTACAAGAAACGCAATATAATAACTACTACATGAACGCAGCCAAAGGTCACTTTAATAAAGATATGTTATATGCTCTCCTCGTGGCTGCCATTCAAGTACTTATAGGAAACTTCACACAGTTAGAAATAAACCCCATTAACAATTTAAATAGATACGAAATCACATTTTCTGTGAGTGAATGCGCCATCTAGTGGTCACCTGCAAATTAAAGTGAAGAGGTAAAGAAATAGAGACGATGCACAAGTTATTTTTCGACTGTCGGTGTCATAATTTTGTCTGACCTGTTCCATCTAAACAGCTGCGGTGTGAAATGAGGGAACAGCTTGTGTGGCAGCTTACATGAGCATCTCTATAAAAGTGTTCATGTTGAAACCAGGGACCCTCTCAATCAGCTGCTGCTCCAGGTGTTTCTCCAGCAGGTCGACCTACACAGCGGTCACAGGTCAAGATTTCACTTCCTTACGCTCAGAAATACAAATACGTCTTTCTGGCATTAGAATTCTACAGGACGTATAACCACGACTGGATTCTTTAGGAGGGGCGGCCACTCACGTATTCGTTAAAAATGAGTGTGTAGCAGAGCTTGTTCTCGTCTGAGTCATCAAACTCCAAGTAGTGTTTGTCCATGAAAGTCTGCTGAAGGTGCTGGAACTCTTCCTCTGAAATAAAACACGGCTGTTACGATACCCAACTTCACAACTAATTGCAATTACTCATTTATAGCAATTTTCCAAATTTAGGAATGATGTCCCATCACTGAATTTACTGCATTACAGCCCAAACATTCATGCATTTGCATAATAACTTGCATTATAACTGGGACAGTAGCAGGCTCCTACCCATGATGACGTCTTCTATGCAGCCAATAACAGCATCGAAAGCCGTGTCTGCAGCTGAGGAACTGGAGGGACCGGGCAATAACAAAAAAGAGAAATACATTTAAAGGATATATCCAAGCAACCCCATAATGGTGATTTATCCATCCAAAGTATAACCTACATTCTCACAAATGTTGGACAAAAACTGAAAAGTTACCTTTATTTCAACAAAAGGAAAGCAGTCACTTAAAATATAAAAATATGAAAAAAACTAAATGGAAAACTGTTGAAATATTGTGTCAGCATGAACAAAAAGCCAAACTTAAAGTCTTTATTATGCTGGTGGAAGATACAAGTAGACTGAGACTTACGATTTAATGTGGTAAAGGGGAACTTCTGAGATCCGGGCACACCCAAAAGTGTTGAATAACAGTCCAGAAAAACTCACCTGGAAGCAGCAAAGAGCTCTTCGTTTACATCCACTATGTCCACCATGTCCACCATGTTCTCACAGCTTTGAACACCTGTTGAAGGAGAAGAAGCAACTACTGAACCCTTAAAAAAAACACCACACACTATTCTCTCTAAATGCCAGAGCAAACAGTAATGATTATATGACCATAAACCACAAACTATTCACTGAGACTAAATCAACTTCGTTCGTTGCAAAAATAACGTGTCTTAGCTCTTGCTGCTAACAGGCTTGCAGCCCTCATTTAACGTGAGCTAATTGTTCCATCTTCCAACTATGAATATCAAAACATTCCCCAATGCGGATTTATCGTGTTGAATAGGAGCATTTACCTCTTTCCTGAAAGTCCATTTCGTAATAATCTAATCGTTAGTCGTTGGATGCTTACTTGAGAACGAAAAGCTGTTGTCAAGGAAACAGCGATTGCCTGTGCAGCTTTACATTCCCTCCGGGGGAACAAAAATATAGCTACGTCGGTTCCTACCTGAGAATGATCCGTGATTGAGAAACTTAAATCCAGCTGTTCACAAAGACTTTTGTGTTTATACCGAGTGGATATTGCTTAAATAATTCAATTATTATCAATTGTTTACTGTCGGTCTTCAGCAAAAGTGCTCTCAGCCATTCTTTTAAGACACAATCAAGGTTGACATTATTTGAATCATGTATAAAACAAAAGAATTAGATCACCAAGCTGTCATACAAATGAATGACATTTACATACATTTATTACAAATATCACAAAACAGGAAACAACAAATCAATAAATCACATCTTTGGGAACTCTGGGGCATATTTCCTTTATAACAGTTTTAAATATAACTCACAACATAATCTTTATAATCCTGAACTTAATATCCAACCACAGACATAACTTTTCTCTCATGTGTAAGGTGCTCCAGGAAATACAAGGTAACAATGTTTACCAGTCTTTTGCAGTACTGAGATATGCTTGATATTTCAGAAGTCAATTGAGTACAATCTGGATTATTTTATATATTCTGCTCATGCTATTTGGCTAAAGAGGGTCTCTGATAAATAGTGATACATGTAAAATCAGAGTTGAAATTTCAAAAAGCCATTGAGTTCAAGTTGTACAAACACTTTTTCTGAATCAATCTCTCATGTATTAGTGTTGTCACCCGTTTCCAAAATACAGTTCAGTAAACCCAGAGATGCTTCAAGTAAAGAATAAATGGAAAGAAAACACAAAACTGCTGACAAAGAAGAAAAGAAGAGGTTTGTGAAAGAAGGGCATGTCATGTTCAGGGCATTAAGAGGTGCGCCACATTTTGTCAGTCTGACCCAGTCGACTGAAAAAAACTGGTGTGAATTTGTTTTTGTTTTTTACCGATTTGTTGTGTATTTTAAAGCCAAATATCATATACAAGGACGACCCTGAGAAAAGAGGAAAAACAACTAAAAGATTTCACATTAGCTTTAAGCAACTTACTGGTCGGTCCATAAAATGTAATTTTAAGGAAAAAAACAACAACAAAGAAAAAAATATTTCAAGCCAACAACTTTGTTCCTCCTTTTTCATAAGAAAAAAAAATCACATCTTGAGGACTCAAACTTGTCGTCTTCACACAGACGCGTCAGTTTTTGTCAAACAAAAATTAAGACATAGTTAATTATACAACCCTAGATGTGAGCTTTGCTCAGTTTGGAGCTAAATGACACTTTGTTGCCAAATTGTCAGCATTACAGTGGCAAATCATTTCAGCTGAAATCTAACATCCATCGTTTCCAAATGAGACCTCTGAATAAATTTAGCGCCTGTCATACACTGAATTTCTACTACTGTGAATCCCTGTTTGCCTCATGACTGATTGGGACTAAAGAAAAGATCAACCTCCAAGTACAGAAAAAGCACAAAAAGCAGTAGGGTCACCCACAATGAAAATCAGTCAATTCAAATATACATCGAAGTATCTTTTTTTCTTTTTCTTATTGTCGACTGTATAACATTAATAATCATGTTTACTCCATTTATGAAAGACAGGTGATTGATTAACATTTTTTTCAACCGGAACGAGAAAACTTAAGTTTCATGGCACAATAGCAACATCTGATATTTTCCTGACAATGTATTTATCTCTAACAAACTGTACTTGTAGGCTACCAATTAATACTGACAGTAAAGCTGCCCACGCATAGGTGCTGGAAAAGACTGAAAATGCTACCTGGAGAGTACAAGAATTCGCATATCTATAGCCAAAAAGAAGTGACCGAGACATCTCAAATTTTTTTCAGTACCTTTGGGTTAACACTGTTCTAAGACAGGCTGTTTTCGGTCACTCAGCCCTAAGTGATGCAGACACGTGCACGATGGTGATGGGATTAAATAGAAGTAGCTTTTTGACTGACCGCGCAGTGGAAATCCTCAGATCTGAAAGGATCTTTAATTAGAATTTCACCCAAATGAGAAGTTGGTTCTGTCTGTAATCTGGATTAATTGTCTCTGCTCTTTACTTCCGATACTTTCTGTCTGGAAATTCATCGTTAGTAGAAAGTCGATTCTTGGCGCAGCTTCTGCAATGAGTTGTCAGAAGGATATAAAAAGAGGAGGTGAGGCAAAGAGGGACAAGCTGCTGGGGATCCAGCTGCCCGATTCCCCCTCCTCTTATCTATTTTCTTTATGCTCTCTGGTCTTCCATCGTTTCCCCTTCAGCCCAGAACCTACCGCTCTGTTAGCATCTCAAAACTGTGGCGCTTTCTTCACAGCCCTGTTGCGTGAGAAGGAATAAGAGGAGGTGGAAGAAACTGTAGGCCTTTTGTGTCTCTCTTTACAGCAGGAAGTGTGTCAGGAGACATGGGCAATGAGTCTAACACGCGTCTGGATGTCTTGGCGGCACAGAGGGCACGTCTCCAACTGTAAGGCACACTCCATACACATCCCACTGCAAAAGAGACAACTATTCTCAGCATCCGTTCGCAAGAAACTCCACAGACAAAAGGTATTCGGTGCAAGAAGTTGCAGTCTAAAATGTTCAAGCATCTCGCTCCCAGAAGGTGGCGCGCACATACCCGTGTCCACATGGCCGCAGCTCCGTGTCGGCCATGACATCACAACACAGCGTGCAGCAGTTGTCTCGGATGCTAACCTGCTTCAGTAAGGCCAGACGCCGGTGTCTGCGAAGCACAAAGGCACAGAAAATGTTTTCAAGGCTATGTTACAGTGCAAGAGCACCAGGGGCAGCAACTTTTGGAAGCTGATAAATATATTCAAATGCCTCCGTTTTCAAATGGGTATTGCAGCTACGGTAGCCGTCATGCATCCAGAAGTAATTACATGGTTTAAGTAATCATTTCATCAGGACTCCATGTATTTTTCTGTGTGCAAAATAAAATTAGATAATTGCACCGTTCAGCATAAATGTGACCGTTTACATTTAAATAAGTTTTAATTAGATATCAGTGCATTTTTTTTCCAGTGGTCAGTGTGCTGTAGAACTCACAGAATCAAAGTCATAATGTTCAGTTCACAATCATATCTCAAAAACACTGTTTTTTTCAATACTCATTGGAGAGGTCTGGTCTGTAAATTATGCTGTGGGTCCTGTTTTATTATTGCAAAAATAACCTTTATTTTACTTAAATTCTATACTCAAGGCACACCGTGTAGAGCAGGTAAACCCTTTTTAATCTTCTTTCCCCATTTGTCAGTCAGCAGATTGATCACAATCAGCGAGGCAGTTAAATCCAAAACATACACTTCAACTAAGTCCTTTCTTAAAAGGATTAGAGTGTCTGGCCTTTGTAGACCTGTCAGAGTGGTGCTGATCCAATTATAACAATCAAACTTCTGTTGGTACCCTGTGTTGCTGAAAGCTGCTTTACAACCACGACTGCCTGCTAATTGGGAGAAAAGTTTGATGTGTAGTGAAAAAGAATATCAATTTCTTTAAGTGGTGATACTAACTTTAGAGCCTTTTCTTAATTTAATTGCAATGATTAGTCTGTCATAAAGATCAGCTGGATACCCTGAGTTCTATTAGGCTTCATCTAACCAGGAAACCAAGCTAGAGCGATGAGTCACGTCTGATTCCTGTCATACCTACGCACTGTGTTCAAACAAATGAATCACCAGCCAGAGGCGGGCTGGCTAAGGCCGAGGATTACTTACAGCCTTGTCAAATACCCAAGATGTGGTCTGTTCGAGGCCCCGTTCTTCTTTTCTTACCGTGGTAGGATGATCTTTTCACTGGGCAGCAGTGAGGCGAAGTCGTTGAAGGTGCTGAACTTGACCGAGGGGGGGTGACGGAAAGGCTTGGCCCCAAAGTTGAACTCACACTGCTGGTATGACATGAAGCTGGCTGCTGCAAAGAAGCCAGACCTGAAGGGAAGAGAGGGGACAATGGAGGTAAACAGAAGGGAGCTCTCGACCCACACAGAGTGAGAGAAATCCAGGCTTGAATTTACGTTGCGGAGGAGAAGACTTGTTTCTCTGGAGGCAGCGGATGTCCGTTGAGATAAAAGATCATCTGCTTTTTGCTGAGGTCCAGCAGAAAACCAATGGCATCTCCTAAAGAGATAAACAAAAGCAGCAGAATAAGGCGCTGGCATGGCGCTATTTTCACTCCACGTGGGAGTTAAGTCGAGGCCTGAGTGTTGGCACTGACAGAGTGTGGACGCTTTCCCCACCAAACACACACAGAGACAACGCATGCTGGACACCCATCATTTCTGGGAGGCATAGGATTAAAAGAAAGAAGGAGTGCTCACCCTCCTTCCAGCAGGGGTGAGAATGAGGTTTACTGCGCGCGTTGTACCAGATGAGCTGCCTGCAGCCATCATATGCACATGAATATTCATCATCTCCTATACCGTAGCCCTCCTGCAGGGGAATAAAACGTTTTTTTTTAAAGATGCTTGGAAATATGCACAGCCGAGATAAAAGGGGGATTTGCATAAGGATAAAAACACCAGCCAGTACATGGTTGAGGAACTTGCTGTCCTTGGTGGCCCATCCGATTTGCATCACCCCTGATGTAATAACGGTCACCTCGTAGTACCAAACACCTGAATCCACGCAGAACGTACAACGCACACTCTCAAAGGATGAGGCGTCGCATCGTGCCTGAGGAGAAGAACAAAAGAAAGCGCATGAGAGACGTACTCATGATCAGAGCCTTCACACTGGGAATCCTGCTAGACTGAGTCAAAGCGGACCCACCTCCAGCCCGGAAGGGGAGATTTTGAGGTATTCGCTGACATCATTGCTGTTGAGCATGGCATTGATATTGGTGAGGTTAACCTTCTCGTAAGTAAACTGACGACCGTCCTTTAAGACTGGACGGAAAAAAACAGGAGAAATATCCGCTTTCTGTTATCCACATTCCTACAGAATAGTTTCTTTAACCTCTGATGGAAGACAACTTAGCAAACTTTCACTCAATATCTACTCACACAGGTTGTCAAGGCTCCACTGTGAACAAAACCCAACCTGCCTCTTCAGGTAGTCAGGGTGGTCTGCCCATGACTCCAGGACAGAGAGCCGGTTGCTGATGGAGGACTCGGCCACTGTCAGTTTGTTCTCACCTGTGGAGAAATTCAGGACGATCAGGGAAGACCCGATTGAGCATTTAATGGTCACGACACAGCAGCCATCCAGGCACAGTCCTGAGTTTTAGGCCAACCTTGACTTGGGGGAAATGAACGACACTCGAGGCGTTGTTTTATATCAAAGCGCCGTAAATAAGTCTGCTGCATGGCCTGAACTGACTATCAGATCCGTTAAATTGTGATCCCGACATTAGGTGCGATGTTATGAGCACATGTGTAATACTGGGTGAGTTATGACCTGTTGATATGTGAACTCCACTAAACCTCTGAAGGTCTGCTGTGGGATCTGGAACTGAGGCATCAGTAGCAGATCCCTTAAGCCCTGTAAGCTGTGAGGCAAGGCCAACATGGATCAGTAAATTATGCATTTCACAGATGCTCAATCAGACTGAGACCTCTGCAATTTAGTAGACAAGTCAACACATCAAGCTGTTGTATTCCTCAAACTTCTGAGTATTTTTGCAGTTTACCTGGCCCCTAAAATCGAGGACTACGGTGGTAAATGTCTGAGTAACATGGATATGAACAGCTTCAGAAGGGAACAGTTCCCGAAGCATCACACTGGCCAAATAAACTCATATTGTTTTCAGTTCATGGGATGAAACAGAGAGCCATTTTTTCACGAGAACATTGTGTTTTGGCTGATCGGTGTGTCTGAGCCACTGATGAATGGCTTAAACCTCTCCTGTGTAGACACCAACGGGCAGTGTGTGTGACAAAAATGATAGAGTTAGAGAATATTAGGGAAATGAATGAAAATTAAAAAAACTCAAAGAGATTAAAGACAGACTAGATTGCTTTTGTAATAGTGATACATTGTTATTAATGAACAATAATAGCCTGTAAAGTTGTTTCAGTAGTCTGCTCATGAGTGTAGAATTTGGTCAGTGAACCTACTGGTCTGGGAGAACTTCTCCAGAGCAATGAGGGCAAACAGCATGACTGTAGGGTGGGCCTCGGAGCTCTAGACAAGAGGTAACAGAAAAATGCAGAAATAAATGGCAAATAAATAAAAGAAAATGAATAAACAGTCTGTGGAGACAACTCATTTGATAAATTTCACAGGGAGACAAACATAAAATTCTGGTATTTTAAGGAAACAAAGAAGGAAAAATGTGCAAGTTTTTACCCCTTTTCACTATTACGATCCTGCTTTTAGGACACTGTTTTGTGAGGGATTAAGGAGCTTTTCCATTTAATCTATAATCTGACTGCTTGACATTATTAGGCATCGTTACCCAGCATGCACTTCAGGCTTACCAAACCTTTAAAATTCCATAGAGTCAGCAACTTATCCAATCTTGCCTGCTCTGTTGAGCAAACACTATGCCTCAGAAAGTCTCCAGTTTTAAATTGCAATAACTTGATGCCTGCGGTAAATCCCATCGTTCAATAACAGGTACCACAGTTTGCTCACCAGGCTTTCTAGAAGGTACTCAAGGGTTCCAGGGCTCAACAATCCTATACTAGCCGGTCCTGCAGAACAGAGAAGGAAAGAAAATGTAACATGACAGAAAAAGTTTACAAATAGGAAAAAAGTGCAGCCCACATACACAAAAATGAATCTGAATAAAAAGAATAATGGCAACAAAAAAAAATTTTTTTAAGAAAGAAAAAAAAGCTATTAAATATTAGTGATTGACTAATTATTTCTGATTTTGAGAGGAGCATTTGTCCTTGATTAAAACAATGTAGAGTTACGTCACACAGCTAATCAAACATCCCCTCTTTAGATTATATTAACAAACTAGAGATGTGTAGTCTTTAAATGTGTACAACTATGAGTGAATGTGGAATGTACCAGCCAGCTTCTCAGCTAGGCATCCCAGGACAGCGGTGGTATTTCTGTGTTTCGCCGGGTTAAGAGCATCCTGTTGTGCGACCGCTGAACTCAGACTCAACATGTCAGAGAGCTTCTGGAGAGCATCCTGCAGAAGAAATGTGGCCACGTTACTCCAATAAAAAGGTCATAATCTGTCAAGAAAGAAATCCCTGACTTGCATTTAGCCATATTAAATGTCTGAATATTGAAAAGAGTGAAAATAAAAATAAAAAAAAGGAAATGAAAAAGGGAGAACTGTGGTAAAGCTTTTTTTTCTTTTTCCTTTTTTTTTTTTACACTGAAACAGAAAGGATATCTACATAAACAGACTCATGCGTTCATGTTTATCTAGAAAAACTGTTTATCTTGTAGCATTTAAAACAGTTTTACTTTCCAATTCCTTTCAGGTCCACAGTCTGAATAGTCAGTGCTCCAATAACTCTGATAAAGCTATAGGGGATAGATTGCGAGGAAGGTATTGGCTTCAGTGTATAGCCAAATCCTTTAAAACAGAAAAACATCAAAGTACAAAGACAAAAAAAAGAAGAATAAGACACCAGTTCATTTTCTGATTAATCTGAGGGAAGGGTTAATATGAAGGTTAGATGTATATCTCTGGGTTTAAGGGCAGACCTTTGTTGGGAGAGGGCACTCGTCCAGCAAAAGCGTGATCACTGCAGGGCCAAGGGGATCATCCAATGGGATCACTCGTATCAAGGACTGGACAACTTCCAACCAACCATCATCTAAGAGAAGAGAGACACAAGATCCACTTGATAAAATTACCAGGGAAAAACAAGCACAATTACACTATACACACTCTATAAAGCACTACTTTACCTGGCTGTGTCAGAAATCAAGAAAGGTCCTTTTAATTTCATGCTTCATTTCTATGCTAAATTAGGCTTTCTTTCTCATGTATTTAAATTGAAATATCCAGTTTAACTCCTTGTTTATGTTCTTAATGTATCTACACATGCTACTGTTTTGATAACATATAAATGACTACTTAAGCTACAAATTTCAAGGTTTATTATGGGGAACATGAAGCAGATGAAACTTAAAACAGGAATTTCATGACCATTAGGTGACTCAGTTAAAAAATACAAAACCCTCTCCTACACCATCTCTGACGCAGGCAGACCAGCTTATGAATAATGCAGCACGGCAGCTCATGGGGCTAAAAGTGAATCGCTGGCTGACTTGGCTTTCTGCTTGGCTACCTTCAAGGTTCAGTTTGCAAGCTAACACCCAAATGGGCTGCTGTGCAGCTGCCAAACGCTGCGTCCCGGGAGCATCAGACACCATCCAACCACAACCCAAGGCTCAAACATTACAGTTCAGGGCATTGAGAAACATAAGTAAAAAAACAACAAGCAAAATGTGCACAAAAAGCACAGAAATGATGAGCAGAGCTTTCTGCCACAACATGCAAACATTTCAAAGTTTTTTTTACATCTCAGTATAGATAGTACAGAGCATCCCCCGTTTTGCATACATCATCTGGTAAATTACATCACAGTAAGACTCTTGTTGATACTTCTGACTGTTCTCCTCACCTTTTTAAAACTTTTAAACTTTGAAAACCATCCGGCTCCTTAATTAAATGTTTCTATGTTTTAAATCCACATATAACCCTTCAAAAATGACAGATACATTTGATCTGTTAGCTTTTCTGCACAAGGGAAATATTCTGATGTGGTCACGCTGCGATTAGAGATCAGATTTCAGCCAGGTGGAACAACAATCTGTCACTAAACTCTCCTCTCCTAAGCCAACAAAAGCTTCATGTAGCACCAGCAATGTTGGCACAGCAATAGAGCAGCTTCCCTTGACCTTGGTCGAGCAACACTTAAAGACATATTAGCCACCTCATCTAAACCAACGCGCAGAATGAAGCGAGATCAAAGAGTGGGTGCGACTGGGATAAAAAGGAAGCGTTTTAATAGCGGCTGATATTTGATTTCTTTGTGCAGACACAGGCTGTGTTACAGGCAAGTTTTAACAGGAACTTCTTGAATCAGCTACAACGCAGTGTCAAAGTATCTGAATATATAAAAAACTAAAAGTGTTAGTTGCTTAAAACTCGTTATGTTACATGACTTCCTCTGCAGTCCTCAAAAAACAACCAAGTCAAGCTTCCAGGAACCTGGGCAAGTCCCTACAGGGTGACCAGCCCAGATTCCAGGAACTATTAAGAGTTAGTGGAAGCTACCCCTGACAATTTGTGAAACTACATAAGGAGGAAGCAATAATACATATGTTGACTATATTTCAAAATCAAGAACCTGGGAAGTGTTTGGGCCAACTCACTGAGAGCCAAAGTTACTTTTTAAATTGTATTCTTTTAACACATTAGAAGCACCTTTGGGTTTCTGTGTTTTGTGTGTTCATGGAGTGATTTTTTCAAGGTTTCCTATTTTTTTGCCACATGGATGTGTTATGCTCTTTGAGCTCATGGATGTCTTTCCTCTCCTTACCCGTCTCAGCCATCTCGTGCAGGGTGATCATGGAGTACGGAGGTTCTTGGTCACTGAAACAGAAAAGCAGATATTTCATAAAACATGTTAGATGTCATTATAAATTGATTCACTTTAGTGGAATATCAGATTTGAGTGCATTTATCTTCACACATTCCCACATCTGAAAAACTGCACAAAAAAATGGACATGGCTAAATGTGTGAATCCCACCACCCCTGAAATTTAATCATGCCCCTTATTTCAATTGAGCGTTTAATCAATATTGATCTGATATTACCTTAAAATGTATAATCCCATATAGAACTAAGCTTCTCAGAAAAAGAATAAAAAGAAATACATTTCTAACTGAATTGATTAGCATCAGAGCGTCTCAAAGCAGAGAGCCCAACAGAACTGTAGATGACAGTCAAAAGATTTATTCAGTCATTAAATGTAAACTGGAAAATCTTAGTTTTAGCAGCTTTAACCTATCTCACAGCTTTTATTAAGGTTTAATTGAAGTTTTATGCTCAGCCGGATCTCTCAGCATTCACCTCTTTTATAAGAAGTCCTTATAAGAAGAACTTTACTGACACAAAAGAGACCGAAACGTCCATTTTCTCCAAAAAATGTTGGAGTGTAATTAAATAACAACTTTTTTGGCCCAGTTTTTCTATAGATTGGAATCACAGATTACTTATGAAACAATGGTAAAGTTCTATTATGTTAATGAGACCATTAAAAGTTTTGAATGTTTAAGTCCGAAATAGGAACTGATGTTCATTTGTACAGAAGGAGTTCATGTTTCAACAACAAAAATCATGTGACCCGAGAACTTTGAAAGCAGCTTAAGCTGAAAACTGCTTAGTCATACATGAAAACAACATTGATACTTCACAGAGTTTTAGGATGTGGTACAGTAACCTGTGACGGACATAAATAAAATGTAAAACATGTTTTACTGATGTATTTCTTGAGTGAAAATGACTGATAAGGCCATTGTAAGTGAATATAATGTATATAATATATATATTAAATGTATAATAACTGGGTGGCACACCACAAAGGGACATAGTATTTTTCTTAAAAGAAAAGAATTAGGAGTATGATGAAGACTCAAATCTGTCAGAATGAAAATCACCATTCTCATACATGAATTGTCCATTTTAGTAACAAACTTACTTGTCTACAAGTGTCCTGATGACAGCCAGAGTGTCCAGCACCAGGCCATCCACATTCTGCTTCTTCCGTCGGGGCTCGTGGGGTCCTCGCCCTCTGCGTGGCGGTCTGACCGGGTCTCTTGGCCGACTGCTCCTGGCCTCTCCAGCATCAACACCGACAGCTGTACTCTGATCCACTCGTCTAGTTTGCCCTCGAGTTGCCCTCGACGACCCGTGATGATGGTCCTCCAAGTCGCTGTCCTCTCGGCACACACAGCTGTTACCCATGGTTCCAGTGCCGGAGACCACGCTAGCAAGGGTCTCCCAGAATGGAGGGAGGGGCTTTGAGGAGGAGAGGAAAAGCAGAACCTGTGCAAGGCTCCTGCAGGCACAGAAAGTGATCCAGGCAGCTACTATCATATCATTTGGAGAAGTTGGTTTAGGGGGATTCTTGTCCCTGTCGGCTGGGTGGGGTCAACATAAATTAGCATAATGTTGCCAATAAGGGATTTGCTTTTGGATTAACAATATACGCCAGATTAAATGGACCAGTGGGAGTCAGGTGATACAATAAGAAAACCTCAAAACATCATAGACAACCCAAGGCTCAGGTCAAGCTCTCATCCAGGGCTCGCATGGCTGTAAAAGCAAGAGAAACAAAACAGAAAATGAGAAACTCTGCCTCGGGTGGTAAGTCTGCCAGAGCTGTAAATTAAACTGTGCGACATCGGATCATGTTCCATTAGCAGTAACTCCTAAAACCTGCTGGAGCAAGACACCCGCTGGGATAAATGTCAGCAGATGTCAGAAACCAACGGATGAAAACTACTACAAGATGATTTGCCGTCACCTTCTTTTCAATTATGAAATAAAACAACAAACATTTAGTTATGTTCTGTAGTTCCTTACAGTGTTATTTGAGTACTTTGGTTTCTTGGAATTTTATGCTTACACTGGACATAATACATCCTACTTTATATTATTCCACAGTTTTAGACACTTGATACAGTTGTCAGAATTTTACACAACTGACAGTATGTAGCATCACAAGCAAAAACACAATATGTTTATCAAAACAGTTTGTTTTCCTATCTGCTGACCTTTGAACTTTCCATCTTAGAATTAGTGAATTATCTTTTTAAAGATTTTACATGGTTCCCCATATATAATTTAACTAAATTAAGAGGGGAAAAAAACAAATATTGGACACAAATTAGCATATAAAGAATATTTATCCGTTCCTGACACTGATCATTAGTCACTCAGGTTTTGTTTGTGTAAAGTAATTCCCCAGTGGACTTTATAAAAGTTGACATTATAAAAGTTTTCTTTTGTTTCAATATACTATAATACCCTGCCCCAGAACTATGTTTATTCAACTACACCAGTAGTTAAACTCTCAGCCTGTCTGCTCAGTAATATTCGGCTTACTCGGTCATGCAACAGCGTTGAGTCATTTCTTTAAGATTAACCGTAGTACTGTACTTGGCTGCTAATACTTCGGTATTTATCTCGAACAGCATTGTTTCGTCTAAAAAAGTCTCAGTGAAAAGAAAAACACCAAGGAGTTTTTAATACGAACACTTTGCCGAAATGTTGACAACAGGTTCTCAGTAAGCTGGCTAGCAAGCTAGCCACCCACAAAGCCAGTGTTGTAACGTTTAAAAGGAAAACCAAGATTAAGAAACTAACACTAAATAATAAAAACTGTGATTGTACAATGATTTAACTGTAACAAAAAAACCATACTCACGGTGCCCGTAGCGGAATGGCAACGGCATTAAAACGCTGTCAATCCAGACAGAAGTAGTTAACAAAACAGAGCAGAGCAGTTACGTTTGGTTGTAGCTACCCTGCTAGCTGTTAGCCTAGCTATACACACCTCCGATTCTGCTGTCAGGCAACACAAGTGAATATCAAAGAAGTAAACGTGGTACTCAGACAGCAGAGAACTGTTGGGATACATTTACACAGCCTGTCTGCATCACGCTACAGCCCTATGCTGAATTACAGGGCGGCGAAGGCATAGCTAACAGATGGTACACCTTTAAACGGCGCTGGCAGAATGCTAGCTGCTCGCTAAGTTCCGTAGCGCTGGCAGCTAAAAGGTTGGTCATCATCAGCTGTGAATGTGGAGGCGAAGCTGAGGGTGGAGGGAGAAAAAAGGGTGGGCTTCAAAATAATGCCACCCTAAATGACAAGCTTGTTCCCTCGTTTTCTGACCTGGTTGTGTTTTTTTTCTTATTCTGTCACAACTCTGATTTATTTGATATCTCGTGTTTATGTCTCTACCACAGAATATGTCATTTGTATATGCAATAAAAAAAAGGCTTAAGATCCTTGTGTTTTGTAAAGCAAAATGTCACGTGGTATATAAATGAATCAAATTTGGATTAAAGCTGCAAAAATATGTATTGTGTGTTGTACAGTGAAAACAAAAGTCTTGTTTCAACCATTTCACCATTGTGCCTGTAAACTGTGAAATCCTGTATATTTAAGTGTAAAGAAGCAAAAACTCCGGAGTCAACTGTCAGAATATTGCATTTATTAACACCACCTTAACACTACCAAGCAGATAAAGAGTATAAACCAGATCAAGCTTTGTGGTTCAGACTTCCTGTCATAGCTAAAAAGCTGAGTAAATGAAAATATCCAGCCAACCACATCTCTAGATGGTGTGCAGTAAGTTGGGACAGTCATGAACCCTGCCTTTGTCAATGGATGTATTGAAAGAGTTGTCATGATACATCCCACCATAGCTCATTTGTTTTGAGAATGCCTGGGATTTTGGATGGAATGAAATCGGTGAGCTCTCATAGGTGGGAGGATGAAGGCCATAGTCGCTGGATGTCGTCCTGTAGAGGATACTCCTGTAGAGGGACTTTGACACGTTCCCAAACTCCTCACTTTTAACCGAAGGGTTGATCATGCAGGAGAAAACTGGGTTTCCAGGGTTGATGCAGGGTCTAGGATCGTTTGCCTGCTGCCTTTGAGAATCTGACATCATCGAGTACCTGCAAAACAATTAGAAAGCTTTTTATGAAAATTCTCTTTTCTTACTAATGTAAGATATAAATCAAAGATGTGCATGCTCCTGGAAGGATGACTGAAAAAAAATCTTAGCTGTCCTATGAGTCATTTGCCCCTCATCCAAAGTTCTTTCTTTTGAAACATGACTGCTAGCACTTGTTAGTCATGTAGACTATCACGGAAACAAAACAATGACAAAAGATGCAAAGTGACTCAAGTGAGCCTTTTATCAATAAAATACGTCACAAAATCCTTTAAATGTTCGATTTCTACCGCTTTGGTTTGTTTCTGTGAATGGCTGGGCTTTGGTCAGCTTTTTAAGCTAATCGATTAGTTCACGAACCCTTTATACGTCCATTTTAAGTGTTCAACGACTTCTACAATGATGTTACTATTAGAAACATCATTTCACTTAAAATTTTAACGCTTTATTTACCTTGAAATGTCACAAAGAAAGGAGGAAATAAGTGAACAGGATGCGTTTTGTATATCTGGCCAACCAGTCCACCGGTCGAAGTAAACAAAGCGTCCAGTTACCATGGCAACATCAACCAGTGGACGACAGATCTGACTAAAGCTTCTCCTCCACATTACAACCATTTGTCGCTTTATTCATCATTGCTGTCAGTATTTTTTCACATATCATAGTCATCATAGGTGTGGGATGGAAAACTTTTCATAACTTTATCAAGTATCACATTTTTTAGTCAAATAATACCAAAAATAACTTTTTAAAATAGGTTAGTGCTAATGGGTCTAAAAGAAGGTCCAAATAAAGTGGAAATGTGATTTTTTAAAAAGCATAATTTCGAATAATAACATTTAAAACATGTCCTCTTAAAATTAGAATAGCTGTACATTGAAGAATAAACAACAGGGCAGTCCTTTATTGTCCGTTGTCCAGCAGTCCGTTGACGTATCGCTGCAACGGACGAACAACGGTACTGAGCTACCGGGGGCCGGAGGGGGGCTACCAGTAATGGGCTACCAAGCCAGGGTCCGGGGTTAAAAACGATTAATCAAAATCAGTTAAATGTAAATGTTTGTGCTCTTTATCCAGAAAACCACATCTACTTTTATTAGTTTATGGGGCGTTCTGCCACATCCAAGATGGCGGACTCGTTGACGTATCGTTGCAACGGACCAACAGGCTCAACGCGGCGTCTTCGTATATATGTCTATGAACACACGTTTATGTACGTCATCACCAAGCGACACAGCGTGCGTATATTTCACGCGTCCACTCTTTTTCAAACAGATGACGGCATAAATAAAGCAAGCTAAATTTAACACGTACTCAGGAGAGATTTGTTATACTTGCTTGGTCTCTTTATGCATCGTGGAGCCAACAAATACATTATTCAGCTGTCAGAAGGAGGTAAATAGCCTTAGCTCCACTACTTTTTGTCTCAGCGTGTAAAGTGTGACCACTCCAGCGTCTAAACTCGGGGGAGGATGGACAGCGAAATTCAAAGAGATGGAAGAGTTTTGGATCTCACTGATGATGCTTGGAGGGAAGACAGGCTGCCGTATGAAGATGTCACCGTCCCTTTGGTAAGTTATGTCCGTAGAATTTGCTCAAGCTTTACAGCACCTTTAAAGGACCAAGTCACAGCCACATGCAACATATTTCATCATAGATTTCTGGTCATCGGGCAGATATGGGATTTATTAAAATTCAAATTTACGATCCTAATCCAAATTATTTTAACATTTTTGATTGAATATCCTGAGTAATTGAATAATGAGAAATGCTCCCATTAAATTCTGTTGTGTTCATAATTGTAGAGCTGAATAATTTTGTTTATATTTGGCTTCACTTTCATACCGTTTTAGTTTGTAGTCTGGTATTTATAACTGCTATATTTGATTGGAATAGTTGACTAATTGATCTTTTGTCGGTGGGTGTTCTCAATTAAATACTTGAAATCAAAGACTACAGGTAATCCGGACAGAAACGGATGACATTTTTCACATTACACCAGATTTTATCTTGCAACCGCTCAATAGCTTATGAGTTTCCCCTCCTGGTTATTGAATGCTGACAACATAACCTGGATCTAATATTATTTTTTCATTATTATTTGCACCAACAGCGAAAAGCTGCCTCTGCCTAACTAGTGCTCAGGAGGATACTACATATCTTACTGTTTTTGGTTATTTTTCCCTCTCTCCCCTTTTTCAGAGTGAATTGCCAGAGGCGGAGCAAGACAATGGAGGCTCCACAGAATCTGTGAAAGAACAAGAAATGAAGTGGACGGACCTTGCCCTGCAGAGTCTTCATGAAAACACACCAAGTACTGGAAGCTGAGAGAGTAAACCGTGCTGTACCCATGTAGCCCAAGAACACACCCATCCAGATGGACATTGATCCAGTTAAAAGTATCTCACCGACTTTCTTCATTTGTGTTTTAATGTTATGAAAACTTGATACTTTGTAATAACAAATAGATTTTTGAATGAATCTGTTTTCTGTCAGCATGATGAATGGCACATTGCTGTTTGAAGCTGCCCAGTTACACATCAATCTTCTCAGAAAATGTTGTTCTCATTTTGTGAAACAGTGGTAATAAATCCCAACAGAGTGATATTCATCATATAATACATTCTTGGGCTTAAATTAGTCACATTTTAGTTGAACAATATCCTCATAGCTACTTCAAACGCATACATTTATTCTCAAATTGTCATGAGATTGGTTTGAGCTGCTCCTATCAATTGGAATTCTAGAGGGAATTGCCCTTAAGGCAACATGTCCACTCTATACCTGCCTACAGTTTATTTTGGCCAAAGAACAGGATATGTCTGATTTCAGGTCAATGTAAGGTAAAATGTACAAAAATAAAAAATCTCTATTTCTTAGAATTCCATGCTCAATGTACCTTTTATCAAAGTTGCTCATGACAGTGCTCATTTAAAGATGAGTAGTTTTGGTGCTGACTGAACCCCAGAAAGATGATGGAAACCTATTTAGAGCGGGTAAAAGAACTCTGCAATGTCACAAAGGATTTTGTCATAATCTGCCAGTCAGCCTTTATGACTTGTGACCACTAGATGTCCAGGCAGGACTTCGGATGAGTGACACCATGCTGAGCTGTACGCCTGAAAGTGGTGCAAAGATGAAATGAGGAGAACATAGTACCCTCATTTTAATATACCCACACTGAAATGAATGCATTGAACAGATAATAATCTGTCACATTTTTATTATGTTTGGGAAAGAAATGACACATCAAAAATAGTTTGAAAGAAATTCAGTTGTTGTAAGCGGACCAGTTGATGTAGCACAAGTTAAACATTTAAGCTTCAGTCTTGCTAACTTTTCTGAATAGTAGCACTACTATATGAAACCGATATTTGAAATTATTTTACCATTTTTAATGATCAATGATGAACTTTTTCTTGATGGAATTAGTAAATTAAACTAATTTTTACTGTTTTTTTTATCATAATGTCTGAAGAAATGTTTAGCCTTACTTGTCATAATCTATTTCTAACACTTGACATAGTCCTTTAAAATGAATGTCATCATGAATGTTCTTTCCCTTTTTTTTTCTGCTCTCTGTTATCTCTTCTTTTTTTTCACACATCAGAATTCCTCTCTTATTTTTCCACTCGTTTCACAACAATCACCCTCTTCAATGAGTCAGCTCATTGAGCGGCGCCACGACTAGAAATGACCCGAGTGAGAGGACGGTCGGACAGTGGCGGGTGCAAAGATGTGCAATGCTGCCTTCAGGCTCCATCTCAAAGTGTTCCAAGTACGAAGAATAACATTATTACACAGACAGACAGTTCAGGTGGAAGAAAAACAAAGGTACCTTCTGGTTTAATGGTATTTTGATATAACAGAAATTATATATATATGTACAAGCTCTTCTTTTGACGTTTCAGTTTAATAACATCACAAATATCGTAAACCCACTACATTGGGTGATCTTTTTCCACACGCTCTTCCGAGCTAAAAGCAAATGTAGGTGATGGTTGAAGTTTCTCTAAAGAAAAGAATAAATTTGGGTCGCTCGTGTGCCACCAAGCAGCATCCCACGTGTGATTTGCGCTCAGCACCAGCTTTTGTTTATTTTCCCACGGCATATGCTACGTGAAGGCAGCATATTACAATAGCCTGTTTGCTCACGAGCGCTGTGTGAGGAGGCGGCCGAGTGCAAAGCAGCGCGAGACAACCGGATGACAGCTCGTCTGCACCGTGTGCACAGGCACGGGAACACGGACGAGTCACAAGGAAAAGACGGATTTAAATGTGCCTAAGGCCACAATATTAAAGATATTCATCTTTAATTTAATAATCCCAAAGTTAACATTTATATTATGAAAACAAAGCTTAACCGTAAATATTGTGAGTCGGTTATTTGGATGTGTTCTTAGTTTAGAGGTATAAAACACATAAAGCAAAACTAATTAATTAGACAAATGGTCCTCAAACCGATAAAAAACAAAATCCCAGGACAGTGATCACTATTTTTGTAATGTGGATTGAAACAAATCAGACTGGCTGTTAAAAGGAATCATATTATACGTACTTTTCTCTCAACCTATTGAATATGTAGGAAAGAAATCGTGTCAAACCATTTCAAGTTCAAGCCAAATTATGAGAGAATGATATCCATTCAATGTAAAAAAGAAAAAAAAAAGAAAAAAGAAAGTCTCCCTTCTTTGAATTAAGTCGAATTTTAAATGGGATTTTGGTTGATGAATGATCGTCGTGTACTTAAATCTGATCATATAAATGTGAATTATAAACCCCCCAAATGGCTGTAAATAAGACAAACGAGTGTTATTTAGTTTTAGTTCATGTGTTCGTTATATCGATGTTTGTTTGTTTTTTTCCAGAGACTGAAGTCTAACATTTGTCTTACATAATGCGAAAACAATGGTTCCCTGCATGTAAATGTGTTCCCGCTGTGTGGTGGTTAAATCAAATCGTGTGCACAAACCTCTTTGTAATCATTAACTGGAAGCCTGCGTGCAGCGTGACAGAGCATGTTTTGCACCCGGTTCTGTTGTTCACTGAACGCTATAAAAGAGCCGCCCTTTCTCTGTCATTCACAACCCGCCTTCCCACTGAGAAAGCATCTTCTTCTGTAGCTGGACACCAACACCTAATTTGCTTAAAGATGGACCCTTGCGACTGCTCTAAGAGTAAGTGGTTTATTCTGGTTCAGGACAACCAGGTCAGAGCCTTTTGGGAGGCTCTTGATCTCCAATGATCCTGTGTGAAAGCTGTCTGATTTGTTTGTTTCAGCTGGAACCTGCAACTGCGGAGGATCCTGCACATGCACGAACTGCTCCTGCACCACCTGCAAGAAGAGTAGGTCACAGCAGCATTTAAAAAAAAAATCTCTTACAAACTAAGCGTTTCCTTCTCAATCTGACCAGTATGGCACCCTTAACTCTCATCACCTTACCGTACACTCTTGCAAGTTGCACAGGTGGCTCTAATTGGCTTAATTGACGTTCTGTTAATGGGTTTGTTCTATTGTAAAGCTAAATCAATAGCCGTGCAAATCCCTCTACAACAGCTGTCTCTCTTTGGATGAGTTAAATTGTGGGATAAGGGTTGGAGGTGCGATGATCAGTCTAACTGCTCCCCTGTCTGCAGGCTGCTGCTCCTGCTGCCCATCCGGCTGCAGCAAGTGTGCCTCCGGCTGCGTGTGCAAAGGGAAGACCTGTGACAAGACTTGTTGCCAGTGAAGACCCTCCACCAGCTTCGTCCTGCCCATGAGGCTGCTGAAATGTTTTTTTTGCACTTTTTCAACTGTGTAGAAAATTAGATTTTGTAACTGTGTGCAGCGATAAAATAAACATGATGTAAAACATAAATTCTTGGATGAATTTTATTTTTTCTCTTAACCCTTGCATGCAAAGGTACACATTTTTCCTGAGTATCTCGGAATTTCAGCCTGTCCATTGGCACCATTACAGTAAAGGAAAACGAAGTTGTGCTTTATAAGCCCTCACATTTAGTTGTTAAAAACGGGTCAGACTAGCTCTTGTTAAAATGTGTACTGTAAACGGGATTACTTATGGATAATTTCTGCTCGAAGTTACTTGGGGGAGGGGGGGGGGGGGACTCTATTCAAAAGACCAATATCAAAACATTGGCATCAGCGGAACAGAAAAACATGACCTATCCACTCGGACCGGTAACAGTGACGTACACCGGAAATCTACATTTGTTTCCGGGTGACGCACTTAAACGGTGTTTTTGTACGGCTGCGGTGCTTGTTTGACGGACAACTTGACGTGGCTGCTAACATCGTTTAGTGTCCAGACATGCCTAAGGTCGTGTCTAGGAGCGTGGTGTGCTCGGACACCAGGGACAGAGAGGAGTACGACGACGGAGAGAAGCCTCTTCATGTCTACTACTGCCTGTGCGGCCAGATGGTTTTGGTTCTGGACTGTCAGCTGGAAAAGCTGCCCATGAGGCCCCGGGACCGAGCCAGAGTGATTGATGCGGCCAAACACGCTCACAAGTTCTGCAACGTGGAGGCGGACGAGAACACGTACATCAAGAGGCCGGATGGCATCGAAAGGCAGTACCGCAAGAAGTGCGGGAAGTGCGGCCTGCTGCTGTTCTACCAGCACCAGGACAAAAACAGCCCGGGCACCTTCATTGTGGACGAAGCCGTCGTGAAGTTCGGCCAGGGCTTTGGCAACACCAGCGTCTACAGCCAGAAGCAGCCAGAGGCTCCCAAAAAGGTTCGCGTGATGATGACCAAGAGGACCAAAGACATGGGCAAGTTCAGCTCCGTCACCGTGTCCACCATCGACGAGGAGGAGGAGGAGATCGAGGCCAGAGAGGTGGCGGACTCGTACGCCCAGAATGCAAAGGTGATTGAGAAGCAGCTGGAGAGGAAGGGCATGAGCAAGAGGAGGCTGCAGGAGCTGGCCGAGCTGGAGGCCAAAAAGGCAAAAATGAAGGGAACCCTTATCGATAACCAGTTCAAATAGAGTCTCAGAGTGAGACAGAGACTGGGACACTCTGCATAGAGACATTTGGAGAGAACATGATATAGACCACATGCAAATGATGTACATTGTATTTTTTGTTTTTGAATGTTTGCAAACATAAAGGCGGCTTGTAATACTATTTTCAATAAAAATTAAAGATCGGATAAACATTTGAGGCATTTGGTTTTGTTTTAAACGCAGATATAATGTTATTTAAAGGTTTTTCAAAAAGGTAAGTTGACTAATGCCTTCAGACCAGGAGGCTTTTATGTGTCATTTTGTGGATGAGAAAACTACTAAAATTCAATTTACAGTTATGTCCAAATATCAAATAAGCATTTTCACGCATCTGTGTCTTCTTAGCTCTGGATAGCATTGTCTTAAGACCATTACAATGTATTCAAAGACCATCTTCTAATTGAATTTGGGTGGTTCTTTTGAGGCAACTGATAAAAATGAGTATTGCTGTGCTTTCGATCACAATACATTTTTCCCTAAGCAAAGGTAGAACAGAATTCTTTCCTGGGGGATGCATTTGTGATGCTGAAGGGGTGCATTAGTGCACAAAGTATGAAGAAATTTCACAATAAACACTGTTTCCAAGTTTCTAGAATAGCATTTTCCTACTCAGATTAAGTCTTTTTAAAACACATTTTATACATATAATTGTAGCTTGCCTGGAATCCAAGCCTGCTATCCACAACATTGAAAATGTTTTTAAACAAAATACAACAAAAAAGATTTTTAAAAAGGATCCACTTTTTCAGAAAGCTGTTGCTGGCTTCACATTATGAAATTTTACTGTTTAATGTAACATTTGATATTTCATTTAAATGATATTTTTGTAGATCTGTCCTCGGTGAACCTGGAACCTTTCGCCCATTGTCAGCCGGGGAGGCTCCAGTCCCTCCGCGACTCTTTGGGAATAAGCAGTGTAGAAAATGGATGGATATTTTTCTATTGAATCCCGCATTTAAAAGATTTGTTTTTTTCTGTAAATCTTGACACAGTTTAATCACAAGCACTGTGTGATATACTCAGAATGTCTAATGGCACACGCTATACAAAAGAAATGTAATTTCTTTATGTCAACTAATGATTCATGGGAAAGTTGGTTCAAGTAGGCCAACTTAAAGTAGGTCACAAAAAAGGGGGACAAACATTGTGTTCCATAGACTGGATCACAACAACCAGCCTGATGGAAACAAACAAAGATGGCAGCTGTTCTTTCTCCCTCTCCAGAACGGATATTCATTAGGTTTTTTTTTCTTTTGGGTGAAGAAAGGAGGCATAAAAACCCATTCGTGCAGAAATTCTTTTGGAGCACAAAAAAATTCATGAAAAACAACACCAGGCTTTCAGAAACACCACTAACACTGGCTAAGTTTAGTTAGTTTATCAATCAAACCATATGTACATTTCCTGTGTCATTGTGTTTAAGACCAAATGTAATTATATTACAAATCTAGCTTTGTGGCTTTTGCTCCACATGAGCAGATCGGTACAACAGCCTGAAGCCGGCATTCATCAACCATCTGGTCTGATTCAAGCTGCTGCAAGTGGTTTCTTCTTATGAAAGAAATGTAAGAGTTAAGATATTAGAAGCAAAGCACACATTAACTTTTTAAAATTTCCATATCAACAAATGACTGGCTGGTGTTTCTGTATGAAGGAAATAGGTCTTGCTCAGCAAAGATAACTGACCTGTCTTAAATAAAAGGACCAATTCAGAAGTGCATAATACAACTGGCAATTGTGAGAAAACTCTGTAATGGATATCTTACAATTAGATTACATTGCGTTAAAATACATCCATTACACTTACAGTGTACATAAATGACAGTGCTCTTTTGAAATTAAGAAACATACTTCTCCATTTCCACAAAATAGTGTTACAAAATATAGTTAAATGGGTTTTGTTAATTCATGTTGAAGTGAAAAATTCTAAACCTACATTGTTCAGAGTACATGAAGGCATTTGTGATGTTTTCTTAAGATAGCATATGAGAATGAAAAAACCTGTCATGAAAAGAAGCACTTGAATCGTTGAAGGTTAGCAGCTGCCTGAAGTCAATTTTTGCTCAGAAGAACTGTTCATTCCATTTTTTTTGCTTAAGCAATCACCAGAAAACTCTTGTATCACATCCCCAAAGGATTTTTGCAAGGTTACATTCTATGTTTATCTATAACTGTGCAACAACAGAATTTTGGAATTTAAAGGAAAAAAACGAATTGCCGCTTAATATATCCAGTGATCTGGAACAAAATGTAGTTGAGTTTTTTTTTGGGCACAACTTTCAAATGAGAGAGTCTTTCCTGAAATTCCCTAGACTCATGCAATCACAGGTGCCATACTTGAGATGAACTATCAAACTGTTGACAAGTTTCTAACTAAACCCTCCCATTCATGGCAATCCCTGAATATTTAAACAATAACTCTTTCTGTTTCTCATCATCTTTAAAAGTATTTGGTCAGTATAGGTTGTGATTTTTCAATTTTTACTTATTGAGAGAAAACAACAGCACGTCTGTAACAATTAATTATCCTCAAAGTACCAGTAATTCCTCCTACACAGCAGATGTCAACATACTCACATATTGCCTGAGGAAAAACTACTTCCGGTTCAGACTGGGTTTTGGCCAATCACCATCGATTTAAAAAATACCGGGGCAAATAACATACTTCTATGGAGTGTGTTTTAATTTTAAACAAAACGAGGTGATAATCAAACACAACCACTCTTCAGAGCAGTTTAGCATAATTTACCCACATTCCACAACAGGTAAAAAGTTTGCTGTCTACCAATAGCGAGATATAAAGCTTTTTAAGATAGGTTCAGCTCAAGCATGTGAGACCGCTAGCATTGTAGCTCGCTAGCTAGCATTGAAACACCGCCGTGCATTTATTTCCACTGGAGGCTAACTAGTAGCATGCTAGCAAAACTAGGCGTTATTGTTATAAACTGTCTAAACGTGTAATTTTCTTTGTTTTTTTCAGTTGGAGTGACTGGAAATATTTTACTAATGGCATACTCTCGTTGTCTCGTATAGACTATGCTTGTTTTAAATTCTTTACAGGATAGCTTTCTACTAAACGCTACATGCGCGCGTTGTATCTGTCCTGGTTTGTCATCTGTCAGCTGTTATTAGAGTCGTCAATGACATATCTAAATGCAGTTTTATTAAGATATATACTATTTTGTACCATTGAAATGTTTACTTTTAGCCACTGTATACTGACTTTTGGAAAATAATACACTGTAACATGTTTTATTGTAGTGTTAAACAGTATGTCTTTCACAGGTTTCAATTAGCAGTTCAGTCTAATTGGTTATTCAGAATTTTAAACTCCAGATTTGTACAAACTCCGTTTTTGCTTCTCATTCCTTAATTTTGTTTATATCGACTCATTTCTGTAAACCAGTGTTCTTATTTCCCATTTTCCGGAGCCATGTTACATCTACACATGATGTACTGTATATAAAACTGAAATGAGAATGAATCCAATTTAAGTCCAGCTAGCATCACTCAGATATGGTTACATCTGAGTCCCAGTCTCTCTCTTCCTCCTTCTCTGTGCAGCGGTATGGATGCAGAAGGTTTCGGGGAGCTTCTGCAGCAGGCAGAGCAGCTGGCTGCAGAGACAGAAGCTGTGTCCGAGCTGCCCCATGTTGAGAGGAACCTCCAGGAGATCCAGCAGGCTGGGGAGAGGCTCCGCTCCCGCACCCTGACGCGCACCTCCCAGGATGCAGCAGACGTGAAAGCGTAAGGAATATTTATTTGTCACTTATCTGTGTCCTTGGGTTATTGACACAAAAGTACAGCAGAACCTTTATGTACGATTGCCTAAACATACACATTTTCCAACATCCGAAGTAAAAGTCGAACTCATAGAAAACAATATATGAAATGTAAAAATAGATAACATAAGTTCACGTAGTGAAAGTTAGAGTAAGTTAGGGTACGTCCTGTATCTCAGTCTCCATTTCTTCCTCAGTTCACTAGCCTCTGAGGTAAAGTGCCAATAAAACCCTCTTTTTATTGATTATTTCTTTATGATTTATTTATTTTTATATCTCTCTTATGTAATGCATTTGTTTTATTGCTATGTGTAATTATCTGCAGTATTTATTAAGGAGTTATCGTAGTTTTTTGGGGCTGTGAAACGAATTATAGAAATTACAGTGTATTCTGATGGGAATTTTTGAACCAACATACAAATATTTTAACATACGAGGAAGGTCCTGGAACGAATTAAATTTATATGTATAGGTTTTACTGTACATTCCTAAGATGACCATACAAATAAATAACTAAAAGCGTTTGTTTAAGAAATATGTAGGGCAGGTTTCTTAAATCTAACATCTTTTACTTATTATTCTGTCATTGGTTTTATTTTTCATCTAAATGCTAAAAAAGCTTATGCATAAAATCCATAAAGATAAACATTGTGCAGTTTTCAGGATTTTAAGTGACAGAAGACCTCTTCTGCCCCCTAGTGGTTGTCAAATGTAATCGCTACATTTGTCATTCATTTTTGTATTAACAATCTTTCTTTTATCCATCAGGTCAATCCTCCTTGGTTCCAGAGGTTTAGACATCTTCCACATTTCTCAAAGACTGGAAAGTCTTAGTGCTGCTACCACCTTTGAGCCCCTGGAGCCGGTCAAAGATACTGATATACAGGTACAAATTAAATATAACTAAAACTAAAGGCGTAATAGCAAGCTGCTGTGTGACCAATGAGAGGTTTATTGTGCTTCGGAATTTTAAAAAAAGATTTAAACTCCTGAATTAATTTATGTAACTTGTCTTTTTTACAAGTCTTCTTTCAGTGAAGAAAATTGGCTTTTGTAGTGGTTTCTAAAAGACAGAATTGTGGCAAAGTGAATCCTCTCAACAGAAGTGACATCTTCTCTGAAACTGAGAAATTACATTGTATTTATTGAGTTATTTTATTTCAGTTTCAGCCAGATTGATACTGTTATCACAACTATCCAAAATGATCAAAATGGCTTTGCAACATTTAATTTTTTGGGCACTTGTATAAAAACAGATGGATGCAACTGACAGGATTGTTTGACAGCTTAGTCATTGATTGTATTGGTTCTATTTAAATGGTTTGGTCTTATTGTCATCAAAGGAATGGGAAAAAAAGAGACAGAAACATTATTTATTTCCCCCTATTTTTAATCCATCGAGGTGTTTTACTTGTTTTCATTCTGTGTTTAACACCTTTGTTCTACAGAACTCGCTTCTGGTCAAAAGGGGGAAAAAAGACACGCTAATCTGCACTTTTTATTTAGAAACCATGTCACCGAGTTTGTAATTCATACTCTTAGATGTCCATGTCGTACGTTGTTGCGGTACATGCCCACAGACATATAAACTGTGAAATGGATTTGGAGTCTATAAGTGGTTAAGAAACGGTGCTGGAATGTGCTGCAGAAGAGATGTTTCATGCCCATAGGCGAGGATTAGCTCTGACCGGCCGGTGCCAGTCTATTGTTTTTCCAGTCGAAAACCATTTAATATGCGTGGAAATGGAGCCTCAGGAACTAGGAAGTACCTATTTCTGAGGAGAGGTGGGAAGGTGTGTTGGGCCGTTGGTTAATTATTAGTTCTGATTGGATTTGCCAGTATTTTGTTTTGAAGCTTCCTCTTTTTTGCCTAGTCATTGTAGAGTATTGATTGTGGCAAAAAATAAATGATAACATCTGTATGCCCCCCTCCCAGCAGGTGGAGCCTGATACAGATAAAAGATTTCCTACTAAATGCTTTTTTGAAAAGGTGTAAATGAAACTGTTACTGTTGGCTTGTAGGAGTGGATACACATTAATCGGTGTAAAAGTACAACATTGTATTGATTGTTCCCATAGAAAAGAGAGATGTAGCTTATTCCTACATGTCTCTAGTACATATATGTAATAGATAGATAGATAGATAGATAGAGATAGATAGATAGATAGATGGATAGATAGATGGATGGATAGATAAATGCATATATAGATAGAGAGATATCTATATATACATAATCCTTCTGTTATTTAATTGAAATGAATGGTTCATACAAAGTGTTGTTTAACACTCTGCTCCCATCTCTGGTAACTCAGCTTTTATTTCCTGCTTAACGCCCTTTTTATACCTGTCACTCATCCAGCTGCACCTCCTCATTGCTCTCTATCCTTTTTATCCTTTGCTGTGACACAGGTTTAACACTATTAATGTATAGCTCTGCTTTTTTTCCTCCTTTTGCTGGCCAGCTTAGCATCTTTTACATTTTCTTCTGGGTCTAATGGACATCTCCTTTATTCTCCGTGGTCAGCCGGATGTGTACTAGCCGGGGTGGGTTTGACAGACTGACTGGAAGAGCACTTAGCTCCTGACAGTGTGTTGGTGAAAACAGCACACACACACAGAGGCTATCTCTGCCTCGCTGCCGTGGTTTAGTTTTCCTTATTGGTCTATAGGAAGACGATGCTTTGCAGAGTTGCATTTCAGAAGATGTTATATAGGAACTATATATATATATCACTGGTAGTTCAGAGACATAGTCACGGCTTCATTTAAAAAGAAAAAAAAACAGGTCTGGAGTGCACGGCCAGTGTTTAATAGTACCATATAAATATATGTGCGTGTGTGTTATATATATATATATATATATATATATATATATATATATATATATATATATAATCCTCGTTATTATTTTTCTTATAGATAGTTGTCTAGCTCATTATAAAATAAGCAAATCCTTTGCGTGCTGAAATAATGTCGATGGTTTGCAATCCGTTTCCCATTTAGTGCTGAAAAAAGCCATTACGCCACAGAATAACTGTATTTGGTTTAGGTCAGAATGTCCCAGGGCATTATTGTTTCACATAAAATTGATAAATGAATGCAAAACAAACCATATTAGAAACAGAAAACAATGGAGCTCAATAAATATCTTTTACTAGTCTAAACAAATAGAATAAGAAAGGCATACCTTTTTCTACATTTCTCATTAGCCTCGGCATATTAAAACTAGTTGGCCAGACGGCTTATTAGTCATTTAACAAGCCTTCTTCGACCATATGCTGAGTAACGTTTTAATAAGGATCATCATTTTGCACACTATTGGCTCCAATTCCAAACTGTGAGTAATGGTGAGTCCATTCTAGCTGCTTGTGTTTGGCTCAATGACAAGGATCTAGAAAATAAATCGGATGCTTATTCAGCCAAAATGAACAAAACGACCGGGAAACTCAGTTCAGGAGGGAGGGCTGATCCAGTTTCTGCCCTTTAGTCTGCATCCCCCCTCCCTACAGATCCCTTTTCATATCCTGCTGGAAACTCTGAGTCACTGAACAATAACTAGTACACTGAGGAAAAAAGGACAGAAATCTTGAAATAGATAAGAAGACAACTGCATTAAAGAAAATGTCATGCTCTGCATTACAGAATAATTAGCCTCTGCCTCCATAATCAGTCATTTTGGTTATTGTTGTAATAAATCTGAAAGGCAATAAAAGAATCATACTCATGTTGGATAGAAGGAGATGAGATGGAGGAATACTGTTACGGATTTGAGAAATATCAGTAATTGATAGAAACAAGTGAGTTTTTTTGTTGTTTTTTTGTTTCTAGAGAACAAGAACAAAATGTCTTTGGTTTCTAAAGCCTGTGTTGGAATGAACCTTGATCCTTTTTGGTTTTATGTGAAACACATTAGCTTCCGTCCACAAATCGAACCACCCCCTTCACTCAACACCGAATTCAATTTAACCAAACTGCCCATCAGTCTTGCACTTAGTCCATTTCCGGTTGTGGAAGCAGGAAGGGGGAAGAGAGGCCCTGGCATCCCCTCCTCCAACAGCTCCTCCGGGGGCATCCCCAGATGCCTGTATGGCAGATTGGACATAAAAACAAAACGCAAAAAAAAAAGAAACGGCTCAGTCCAAAGTTGACTGCAGGTTATATTTTACTTAAGAAATCCCTTTAAGAAGCCAACTGTTTGGTACCCAAACTGTCCCAGCTGGTTTCTGCCAGTGATGAAGACCAGCAGGGCTCCTCTGACCATTCCACTTTCAAACGCATGGCAAAGAATATTAAATTCATTTTTTGGACGCAGAGGTTTTTACTGGTCTGTGGGGGTAAATAAATACTTGTGTCTAACGGCTTTACTTCCATTTTAAACAGCGACTACAAATACTGCACTATTTTCCCTTCATGATGAAGACCCTAAAACTTTTCAGGCTGTCCATATGACAGAAAACAGGGATCTTGAACTCAGCTGTCTCGCAGGTTTTAGATGTTTCCCTGCTTCCACAAACCTAACTTAAATTAAATAGATGTCTTCAAAATAATTTTAAGTTCTTCATAAATTGGTCGACGGTGCATTGACTTGAATGTCATCCTCTCGGATCGGCAGTAATCAAACGTCCACTGGTGAGGTTAAAGAGTCCCGTCAGTGTCTGAGAGGGAGGGAGCACTGACCCACCACTCAGGAAATATGAAATATTTAGTTTCTTTGTGCTTTTAAATGTGCCACTAAAACACCTGAAAAGAAAAGCAAATGCTGCCAAATCCTGGTTGCTGGTGTGAAGCATTGATGCAGGTTAAAACATTTAGTTCCTATTCTTAATAATGTTGAATGAAAAAAGAGTATAGCTAAGCAATTTTGGATTATAATGCCCAGCATTATAAGAAATTACACTCTCTTATAAGCATTAAAAAAAGGTGTTCTGTTCATTTTGGCATGATATTTTCTTGCCTGAGATGGCAATAAAAAACTGTCTGTGATTCATTAGAGTTTATTATTAAGAGTGCAGGGGACACAGACTCCGGATTTACTGTGTATCTGTCATATCAGGCTGAAAACCGATCGGCTTTGTAAGGCTTTGGGATCAGTTTTGATGCAGCTTATCAGGCAGGTGTGTCCCTCCAAACAGGAGGCCTCCATCTGCCTCTGTCTGCAGCGTTTTGCGGCTTCGCTCTAAATAGCGATTGGAGTGTGGGGGTTCGACAGAAGAAATGCAGATATGTGGCTTTAATTTCTAAATGTATGCGTGTTTGTGCATGAGTGAGCTGACACATGCATGCACAGCCTCAGTGGGCAGCGGTGTGTGAATGATGTGCATTTGACTTCGGTTTAGAGAGGATTTCTACAGGAGGCTGTATTTAAGGCCAGATTTAGATTTTTTAATGAATATTAAATGCTGAACAAATAAGGAAATGTTAATATAAAGTCATCCTACACACAGGAAGAGTAGTTATAATCCTATAGAAATTCTTTCAGCAATAGCTACAATTGCCTGCTCATCAGGAATTAATCGAATGGAAGAGTCTGATATTTTATTGTTTTGTTTGTTTATTGGATTGTGTTGGGATTTTTCTTATACCTTAATTTAGAGTTAACATTACATAACCTAAACTAATCTTTTATTAGTTTAGGAAAAAACCTGAAAAGGCTATTTGCTACTAATTTCTTGTTCTTTTATCTTTGGTCGCCCGTGGAGGGAATTAAAAAAATGTGGAAATAATTTAGATGTACGTCCACAGACACATATAAATGAATGTTTGTGATGCTGGCAGAGTTAAATGTTCGATGTCTTGATCTCTCAATGTGCGGTTTGTTGCTTTTGAACCGTCAGGATTTCCCTATGCTATCTGTAGCTGTGTCACATAACCTCAGAAACATGGAAAGGTGCAAATGACAAAAAGAA